CCTGCACTGCCTCTTGGTATACATCCCTAGTGCACTTAATTCTTATTAATATTTGCTTAGAAAAGTAAAAACAACAATATCTAATATATTCAGGGCTTACCAAGTGCCATTGTCCAAAATACTTTACCTGTATTATCACACTATATAATTTATATTCCAAAATATACCTCAAAGCCATCTACCTCCCTCCATCTTCATTGCTAACTACCCTGGCTTAGCCCCAGCCTTGTTTGCCTAGATAACTCCCAAATGATCTCTTTAATTCACCCTCTCCTTTCTAATCCATTTTCCAAACAGTAGTCAGACTGATAATTTTTAAAATATTGCCCTTTTTTGAAACCTATGGCCTAAAAGGCTCCAATGCCTCTCAAACTTCATTTCATACCCTATCCCCCTGTACCCAAGCCACAGCAGTTTTCTTTTCTGCTCCTGAATACACTAGTCTGGTCTTTAGGATTCCTATTTGCTCTACCTGGATTGATCTTCACCTGGCTTGCTCATTTTCATTGTTCAAGACTTAACTCAGTCACCACCTCCTCAGCATATCTAATGAAATGGCCTCCGCTAGCTACTTTCTAGCCCATCACCCAATTTACTTCTTTCACAGCACTCAGACATGTTTTCTCGTTCCCGGTGTCTGCCCAATAAAGGTGGATACTATGTCTGTCTTGTTCAGCACCACAGCACCAGCAACAATGCCTCGCCTTGGACCTCTTTGTTGAATTGAACCTCACTCTCTAAAGGTTATGAGGTGCATAGTATAGTTAGTATCATTTTACAGTTAAAAATCCTATCATTAACTTGAACTACATAGAATCATGGTGTCAGCCTGCCAGAATGGTCTTTCATTGCTAGTTATTCAAAGTGGGGTGGGGGTGGCGGGCATAACAAAACAAAATTCTTGTCAGATTAGAGAAAAAAATAAAACACAAAAATTTAATTTATACCTTTTTATTTAAAACTACACTTCTATTAACCTCAGATTTAAGCAAAAGCACATATCTGTTAATTTGGTATGCTGTACTTAAAGGAGCATCCTCCCATCTCAATTTTTGCCAAATGAGGCAAGGCATAAATATATGAACAGTAAGTGCTCTATGCAAAGTCAGAGGAACTTAAAAAGGAAATATTTACTATAGAAACTAAGTCACATTTTTATCATTTAAGAGGATTATGTTTATTATAAATTGTTTGAAAAACAAAAGGTTAATAAAAAAATTTTTCTAGAGAAACTTACTGTTAATATATATTAACTGTACTTTTTTCTAGTTTTACCTAACAGTATAATAGCATTTTCCCATGATACTATTCTTCTAAATTGATTTTTTAAGCACATAATAAAGGCACCAAAATATATTTCAGTTTCCAACTCTCTGTAACTATAAACGTTATCAATTTATTACTATGAATAATGAACTTGTGCACACATCGTAATACCTGTCTGATTATTTCTTTATGTAACTTTAAATAGAATCACGGGGCGGAGCCGGGGGGTGGGGGGGGGCGGCGCAGCACCTGGGTGACTCAGTCAGTTAAGCATCTGCCTTCGGCTCAGGTCCTGATCCCAGGGTCTTGGGATCGAGCCCCACGTGGGGCTCTGTGCGGAGTCCGCTAGTCCCCGTCCCTTTGCTCTTCCCTCCTACCCCCGCTCTCTCTCAAATACATAAAACCTTTAAAAAAAAAAAAAAATAGAACCACTGGGTCAGAAGGTATAAACCTTTAAAGTTTTTTTTTTAAGATTTTATTCGCTCATTTTTATACATTTTTTTAAGAATTTATTTATTTATTTGAGAGAGAGAATGAGATAGAGAGAGCATGAGAGAGCATAGGGAGGGTCAGAGGGAGAAGCAGACTCCCCGCCGAGCAGGGAGCCCGATGCGGGACTCGATCCCGGGACTCCAGGATCATGACCTGAGCCGAAGGCAGTCGCTTAACCAACTGAGCCACCCAGGTGCCCTTATTCGCTCATTGGACAGAGAGCGCACACAAGCAGGGAGAGCAGCCAGCAGAGGGAGAGGGAGAAGCAGGCTCCCTACTGAGCAGGGAGCCCGATGCGGGACTAGATCCCAGGACCCCGGAATCAGGACCTGAACAGAAGGCAGACGCCCAACCAACTGAGCCACCCAAGAGCCCCTAAAGTTCTTTTCATAAAATAACTGACCTCCAAAACACTGTTCAACTCTAAGTCCCAATCAATAGAAAAAGAGAGTTCCTGCTTTCCTGTACCCTCAGTATGAGGTTATCATTATGTAAAACTTAGCCAATATGAGACAGGAAATGAGTAGCAAATCCTTAAACTTACATTTCTATGCTTATTGGTAAGTATGGTACATTTTTACACTTTTATTGGCCACTTGAACTCCTTTATGAACTCATTCATTTCCTTCAGCCATTTTTTTTCTTTTTTTTTTTACTGTAAGATACATTGGTTTGTAAGAATTCTTCATAAATTCGGGATACTACTTTTGTAACTGCCCTGTCCAAAACAGTAGTCACTGTTCACTGAGCACTTGAAATGTGACTATTCTGAACTAAAATGTGCTAAATGTAAAATACACACTGGACTTCAAAGATGTAGTACAAAAAGATGATGTAAAATATCTCAATCTTTATCTTGATTACATATTGAAATCTTTTTAATATACTGGATAAAATAATACTAAAATTAACTATCTGTTTTTACTGTTTCACATATGGCTATCAGACAACCCAAGGTTACATACATGGCTCACGTTATCTTTCTTTTGGACAGTGATCCTCTACAATACTATTTTCCTTTTCACCTTTAAACTGAGCTTTCAGTGTATAGGCATTTCTCATTTTTAAGTATGCAGATAAAGCAATTGTTTCCCTTAAGGTTTCCTTCTCTCCTTCTTAAGTTTACCCCCTCTGCCATACAGGAATTTTAGAAGCATAAACTTTATTTCTTGACAAAGAAAAACATCTGTTTTGATTTTTTTTTTCCCAAAAGTTCTTCAAATATCCTTTTCTTCTTACATTCATCTACTTAAATAGTACCCTTTTTCTAAATGCTTTCTAAATTTTACCATAATGGCTGCCCTTTTAAAAACTGTTTCAGTTAGTACTGGAACTAAATTTTCACAAAGAAGGTTATTTTTAAAACCTACTATGTGTTAAGTGTGAAAACACATTTTAATTTTCTATTGATAAACATTCCAAAGAACTTTGCAAAGTCATTCTGACTGAAGAAATAGGTACTTATTATGTGGTTCACAGGCGGATGAGACAAAGAGTACATAATTTTCGGCATGATGACAGCTACAGAGAATAGGAATAACAAATTACACTATTTTAAGTCCTTTCTACCAACTTAGAAGGCAGTTTAGCCAATATACCTAACTTAAGTGTAAAATGCCAAAACTGCTTGGACAATAGAATCAACTATGCTAGAAAGTTTACTTGAGGATTCTGGAGTACTGTATAATCAGAAGATTCATTTTGTTCATAAGAGAACCAGCTATATCGCCAATAGAGAAAAATTCAACTTTTTTTTTTTAATGCTTTCAATGGTTAAAGAAAACATATTCATTCTAGAAAATTTGAAAAATTCAACTTTTCTATACCCACCAAAAAGCCCCAGAACATGTTAAAAGTAACCCTTCTGAAATTTTAAAAGCCAGTTTTTATATTTATTGCAAATAAAAGATACTAATATATTCTAATTTATCTGCATAGCACAGGCGTCACTATAACTTATGTTACTTGTAGACTTGAATGACTCGACTACAAGTTCTAACTTCTATTGCCAGGCCACAAACATGCTACAGATTTTTTCAAACATGAATTTTTGGGAGATGTTTCTGTAAATACTCTGTATGCTCAAGAATCTAAGGAATTAGACTAGGGGTGGATTTGGTTCTGTGTTTTTCCCTCTGTTCTCAAGGGGTCAAGCTATGGCAGAAAAACATAGGTAAGCCTGACTAAAACCTACAAGTTCAGTGCTATTTTGGAAACTGTGGGACAACTTAAATATGAGTCAAAAAAGAATATGTAAAGAGAGGAATAAAAATTCTCGTCAACCACCTTTTTCTGGGTTACAGCTCCAGGACACAGGATTTAACCAAAAAGACTGTTAACAGAGCTCAAGAGTTAGTTCTTTTGCTTTACGATCCAAAACTGGGCTCATTCAATGACTGCAGCATGGTCATATCCTCATACTCAATGATTCGTAAATGATGAGTAGCACCCCCATCCCTCCCTCCCTCCCTCCTTTTTAGGAAATTTAAGAAAAAAAGTTGGGAAAACGGGAAAAGGAGCAGGGCAAGAAAATCTGTTGAGCCCAAGACGCTCAATGAAGGGGAGTCGGTGAAATCGAAAGACCCTGGCACTTTTAGGATTCCGCAATTTCTCATCACCTAGGGGAGAGGGGTTGTCATCGGGGGACACCGCAATGCGCACGTAGCGTTTTATCTGGTACAAAGTAGTTGGCTTCATGTATGCGACCCAGCCGGAGGGCTACCCGCAAGTTTCCATGGGAGTCGTGCTAGGGCCTTAGGCAAAACCAGGGTCTGGGAGAGCTGTCAGAAGTCCCCGCCAGCTGGGCGGGCTGAATTGCAAAGACAGACCCGAAAGGAAGGTTCTGGGGTTGGGGAAGGGCAAGCGGGCGAAGCGCCGGAGGCGAGGTGCCGAGCCCGGCCTGCTCCTCCAGGCCCGCTGCCGTGGAGCCAGCGGCCGAGGCGGGACACTCACCCTGGCGCTCGCTGGAGCCGTGGGCCGCCGCCCTGCAGCGCAGACGGAGCCGGCACAGGGAGGACCAGCTACATCTGTGGGCGGCAGCGGCGGCGGCCAAGCCCGGTAACATCCTGGCGGGGCAAAGGCCCCCACTCGGACACCACCTCCTGCCTCCGCGACGCCGCGGGGAACTGACTCCATAGACCGGACACCTGCTAACACTCACGCCTGCGCCGCCGCTGCGGCCTCATTGAACCGGAAATGGTAACATCATTTATCGGCGCCGGTCGCGCAGGTGGCGGAAGTGACGTAGACTAGGAGTACAAATCTGGAGGCCTTGTCTCCGCAGACCGAGACCCGCGGCGTGGGCAGGGCGTGGCTGCAGTCAGGGTTCGGTGTCCGCCCTTCTTTTTCCCGCATCCGTATCTTTTCGCTTTAGTCGGAAACCATCGCGTATCGTTTTCATCTGAACAGCTAGGAAAGCTTTGGGACAAGTGACAGGGCCTTTTCCGGCATCTGCCTGCTCCTTTCTATTTTGTGAGCTCGAAATTTGGGCGGTGGTGTTGGAAATGGGAAGAAAGGTGGAAAAGAAGGATGCTGGTTTTCTTAACCTCTTTCGGGAGCCTTCTTGGATGAGCCTAAGCGGCGGCTAACGCACCGAACTCAGTACTCTCCGAACATTGCCACAGTACGTCGTTCTCCTCTTTGTAACACACTTTTGTGTAGCCAGTACATGAAGGCAAGTACTCACTTTGGAATCAGTACTTGCCTTACTAACCTCTGAACCTCAGATTCTCGTGTGTAATGTAGTAAAGTAAGGCTTTCATATGTTCAAGATTTGCCTGAGTAAAGGGAGACGTGCAGACATTGGAAAAGGAGTCAGTCTGGTTCTAGAGAGAAAGAGACCGGAACAATATTCACCGCGGTGTTTACCCCTTACACGCTCGTTCAGGTCTCAGCGTAAACTCGGGAGAGGCTTTCCTTAACCCTGGCCAATGTAGTAGGGCTGGTTATTCTCTGCCGGGTTGCCTTGTATATTTTCTTCAAAATGCTTATCACTATTCGGAATTATCTGTGTATTTATTTTTTTTAATTTTCTGTCTCTCAGAATAGAAAATAAGCATCAGGATGCTGGAATCTTAGGTTTTGTACATTGCTGTTTTCAAGAGGGTAAAAAACAATAGCTGGCACAACAAGTAAGTTGAGGGGAATGCATGGTGGTTTGTTTTGAAATCAATCTGAGTAGCTTAACTATGTTACTACACAATAACTATTTCAAAGAGAAATAAATTAGCATGTTCCTAGAATCAACAGTCTTATGCTAATTTAGATAACCGGTTTGTGAAGTCATAGGGATGAAATTATAAGGATGGTAAAGTTAGCTTCTGTGACAAACATAGTTTAAAACGTTAAATGGTCAGGGCATCTCAGTGGCTTAGTCGGTTAAGGGTCCCACTTTTTTTTTTTTTTTTTTTAGATTTTTTTACTTATTTGACACAGGGAGAGAGGGCGTGCTGGCCCTCCAGAGAGCACAAGCAGGGGGAGTGGCAGAGGAAGAGGGAGAAGCAGACTCTCCGCTGAGCAGGGAGCCAGAGGGAGCCAGATGAGGCTCAATCTGAGGACACTGGTATCATGACCCCAGCCAAAGGCAGAGGCCCAACCTACTGAGCCACCCAGGTGCCCCTAAGCGTCCCACTCTTGACTTCAGCTCAGGTCATCCTCTCCGGATGGTGGGATGGAGCCCCACAGGGAGCCCTCCCCCTTTGGTCCTACCCTCCCCCCTCTCGTGCAGCACTCTCTTCCCCCTCTGTCTCTCTCAAATAAATAAAAATCTTTAAAAAAAAAATAAAATAATTTCACCACTTACTTGGTTACCTTCTTTCACTTAAAAAAAATTAAGTGGACATTTAAAAATGTGCCATAAATATGCATAACTTCACGATTACTCAAATATCTGAATATTACTGGAAAGTTATCTCTTCCTTGTAATAGATTTTAACGGAAATTCAACTCTATGATATAAAATACATAAAGGCTTAGCTCTAATTTTATGTAAATATCCATTGGCCTTCACTACTAATGCTTACCTGCTTTGGATTCTTAATGTAGCCCCTCGTTTCTTAACTTGGATACTGTATTAATTTTGATAAACCTCCAGAAGTCTTGACTTGCCAAATAAATTTGAAGAATAAAGCAGATCATGCTGGGTTCTATCAAATAATAAGGTCTCCATGGACTTGGATTAAAATACTTCTGCAGCTGTCTTGGTGTTTACACCTATATTGTCATTATATACTTGTCCTGCTGGACAGTCCTCAAAATTTCCCCAAGTGCTGAATGAAAATTGAGGCAATGTCAGTTTTAGAGTTCCTTAGGAGAATTTCCTTTGACCCTAAATTCTTTGAGAAATCCCATCCTTACCAAGATATTTTGCCTTACTGCTCCACTTCAGACACATTCAGCAGCTGCCTATATGTACAAAATGGGTAAGATTCCAATATCATGGAGCTTATTTTCTATCAGAGGAAGCATAAAATTTAAAAATAAACACATAATTTCAAATAGTGATGTTATTAGGAGTGTCTGGCTGGCTTAGTCGGTAGAGCATGCGACTCTTGATCTTGGGGTTGTGAGTTTGAGCCCCACATTTGGGGTACAATTTACTTAAAAAATATTAGTAATAATATTGATCACTTACTAATTGCCACACTCTCCATGTGCATTATCTCATTCATAACACTTAAGCAAGTTATAGATGAGGAAAATAAGGCAGAGATCGTGCTTTTTACCACCACACATTACTTTCTAAGTCAGTGGGTTTTATCCTCTGGAAGAAAATACGAGGTCTTTCAAAAGACTTGAATGACAACATGGTCTTTTGTTTCCTGAAATGTAGGTCAAGAGAGCATGTCCCTAGATTTTTTTATGTATGATCAACATGATACTGAGTTTCAAAAAAATAAACTTTCACGAGGATTTGTGATATAAATAGACGCCTAAATATAGGTAACTGTTAAGTCAGAGAGATGGAAATAGAAGTAGGAAAGGAGTGAAGTGTCATTTGATTATTAGGCCATACCACAACGCCTGCAGGGTTTTCCATGAACTCTGAATAAGTTCCTACATCTTTCAGGAATGTGCTTCTGTAATTGAGCTGACTGTTCCTTGGTTCCACCTTGTCTGTTGCTTTGGGAAAATAGTGATTGCTGATCATGAGACAAACTTGGCCATTTATTTGGAAAATTGACTTAGATAATCCATTGCAAGATAAAGTGAGTGGTTCTACCATGAGGTATACTAATAATACAAATTTAATTTTGAATGCATATATTTGTGGGCATCATGTTGATTTTTGCATGCAGGATTGGGGGTGGAGGGAGCTTGCCCAACTAAACACTTCAAAAAGAAAACAGCTTATGTGTGGATAAAAGGGAGACGACCTGGCCACAGCCGCGAGTCTCAATGCCTACTGTACAAACGTGGTCAGAAGCAGTGTGGGCCTGCACAGACATAGTTTGCATGTATAGGCAAACATCTGCATAAGTAAAGAAAGTGAAATGTGAATTTGATACGATGTCTGACCAGGCTGCTAATCCTCCTCTCCATTTTTCAGAGCTGTTGAGTGATTTTCCCAAAACCACTCAGCAAGGATGGGCTTGAACATGGAATCAGACACTGGTCCCCTGACTCCAAATCTGTAGGTGTGTGAGCATGGGGTGCACGGGGGAGAGGCAGAGGTTGGTTGTTCTGATGGGTTTTGTCCCCACATTATTCTGTGAAGTAACTTGTTTCTTAATCACAATTATTACGTGAAAAAACTATATGGTAACTCCACTTGCATTCAGATTCACTCTTTGCCACTTCCATCCAGGAATAAAAAGAGTGATTTCTCCAATGATGACCATATTCCTGGGTCCTAGCTCTTTTATCCATCTTAGTTTCTCCAATAATAGCCCCTTCTGCAATTCACTTTGTCAAGTTGGGGGGGGGGGATTTTATATGTAAATTTATATGTATGCATCTTTCACCATGTGCCCCTGGCTCCCTTCCTCAGAGGTTAGTGATCAGGGGATTACAGACATTACAATTGGGAAAATCAAGTTACTAAATACTCCTGGGGACAGAGGAGACTGAAATGTTTGATAACCTTTATCCTTGAGAAAAATAAGCTGGGGACTGAGAGCAAGTTGATTTGGTACTTTTGGGAAGGGCAGCATTTGTGAAGAGAGTAAATTTCTTCTGCAAAGCCACAGGTGGGGGCACCAAAAGAAATTCTCGTAGGTTTTTAAAATTTTAACTTTTTTTTTTAAAGATTTTATTTATTTATTTTACAGAGAGAGAGAGAGAGACAGCACAAGCAGGCAGAGTGGCAGGCAGAGGGAGAGGGAGAAGCAGGCTCCCCACTGAGCAAGGAGCCCAATGCGGGGCTCGATCCCAGGACCCCGGGATCCTGGGTTAAGGCAGCCACTTAACCGACTGAGCCACCCAGGCACCCCTTTAAAAATTTAACTTTTTATTGAAGTATAATATGCAGAAGCAAGCATAAATCCTACGGGCACACCTCTAAGGATTTTAACTAAGGAATGAAACTATGTTAACGGTACACAGCATTACTGGCTCCCCAGAAGCTTCTCTTCCACTCACTACTCTCCCACCCCTCAAGGTAACATGCTTCTAACAACATAGATTGATCTTCCCTGTCTGGGGACTTTATATGCATGAATTATATATACACTGTGTATTCCTTCATAGTACATATGAAAGAATCTAGTTTCTTTACCTCAGTATTATGTTTGTGGAATTCATATTGTTTTCATTCTCACAGCTATGTAAGATCCCATTGTATGGATATCCCACAATTTACCCATTTTACTGCTGATTAGCATTTGGGTAGTTTCATTTCGGAGCTATTACAAATTATCACGGACATGTGTATGTGTTTCTGATGGATGTATTCCTAGGACTAAAATTACTGGGTCACAGTATGCAAACTTCCAGCTTTGGCAGTTACTAGCAGTTTTCCAAAGTAGTTGTACCAATATACACTCCCAACAGCAGTATGTGAAAGTTCTGTTTCCTCATGACCGCACCGACATTTGCTACTATCTTCTTTTTTAGCCTCATGGTAGGTATGGAGTGGCATGGCATTGTAGTTTTAATTTGTATTTCCTTGATGATAAATGAAGTTGGATACCTTTTCAAATACATATTGTCCATTTGGATATGCTTTTCATATCCTATTTAAGACTATTATTGCCCACCTTTCTTTTAGGTTGTCTGTCCTTTTCTTACTGATTTGTATGATTGATTTGTATGATTCTTAATGATTTGTATATTCTGGAAACAAGTCTTTTGTTGGATATATGTATTACAAATATCATCTTCCACTCTTGTGAATTGTCTTACCATTTTTTAGTGGTATCTTTTAAGGAAAGGAAGTTCTTAATGTTACACATTATCAAATTGTCCAAATTACCAATTTATTTTACTAATAGTTAATATATTTTGTGTTCTATTTTGAAAATTTGTACTTATGCTTCGGGACTTATAAAGTTTTGTAGCATCTTCAAGATGAGGAGAATGATATTTCCATCCCCATTGTATGTTTGCTTAACCACCAAGCTTGCTGACCTATCCCAGTGCTATGAATTTGAGAGGAAATTTTGAGGACTGGGAGGAGATGGTACAGAGAGCAGAGACTGTGGATCCTGACTGATCCTACAGACCTCAAGTTGGGATCACAGAGAGTAAATGAGATTGAGACCTACAGACTTGTCATAGAACACCAAAACATGGGGCAACAAGTATGTGTGTATCAGGTATGTGTGTATCATCACTGCCAGCCAGTAGTCAGCTGATAGATACAGCAAGTCCTGCAAAGAACTATCAAAACATGGGGAGCTGCTTGGGATTGAATTTCTCCTCAGTGGGGCCTGTCAGGGAGCCCCATGTGTCCTCACTGACAAGTAGCTAGATAAGCCACAATGACCTACAGAAAGGGGACAACAACTTTACCACACTCATGCATTTGGGAGATCACGTATTTCCCTTGTTGAGCTCCTGACCCCACCATCAGAAAAGCAAGAATATGGAAGAGAAAGAGGTGTGTGTAAAGTGAGTTGGAACCACACAGGTCTCGTCTACTCTACCCTGGAGGGGGCGTGAGTGTTTTTAAATTAAATATGAGATTAATGTTTTTTTAAAAGATGTATTTATTTATTTGAAAGAGAGAGCACAGCAGGGGCCAAAGGGGGGAGGAGAGGGAGAGAAGCAGACCCCTTGCTGAGCACAAAGCCCTACACAGGGCTCAATCCCATGACCCCAAAATCACGACCTGAGCCAAAACCAAGAGTCAGATACTCAACCAACTGAACCACCCAGATGCCCAGATGCCGAAGATTAATGTTTTAAATGAAGAGAACTAAATCGCAGTACCTGGAATTAAAGTTTTAAGAACCAGGGAGGCTACTACCCCAAAACAATGAAGTTTGACCAAGTACCAAGTGTAGAAAATATGAAAATTTCATGCTTATGCGTCTTGAGATTCTCAAACTGGCTCCACATCTTTGTTTCCCCTGGTATCTTTAGACAGGGATTGTTTAGTATTCATCTCTCAAGCCTTGGTGTCTAGCGTACAATAGTACATGGAACATAAGATGTAGGTGAGTGAGTGAATGAATGCATGCAAACTCTAAGAACTACATAACTGTTCTAATTCTCCGTAAGTACAGAGTCTCCTTCAGAGAGAGAAAGTTACGGTTATGTCCGTAAAATCTCTACAACGTTCACCCTACAGAGAGCTTTCAATCCACTTTCACCTCTTTTTCTAATCAGCTCTCCTTCCCCCCCCAATAAACACATACATAACTCTACTAGGAGGAAGAAGGACTTACCCTGAAATGTTACATGACTTTGAGCTGCATTCCTAAGAGGCTCTCTCAGCCTCTAGAATCCTTTCCCTCTCTTTTAGGGATCGCCCTGCTCTGTCTCCAGCATTCTACTCAATTTCCTCATCCACCATCTCCTCCCATTTCTCCATCAGTAACCTCGTAACTCTGCCCCTCTGGCCTTGCCATGTACCAGTTCTGTCCATGTTTAAGCCACTTCCCCACTCAGCATCACTGTTGGGAATCTGGGAGAGAGGAATGGGAGGCAGTAGGTCTTTCCTTCTCTCCTCAAATATCTATACAAGTGGGGATAGGAGGGTAAAAAGATAAATGGCCAGAGTCTTGCTCTTTTTTTATTCCTAGCCTCTTGTGAACCCATCTTCCACCAAGTATTTCAGTAACATGGCCATGCTTCATTTCAGCTGTTTCGTTCCCACCAGCTGTGCTACCCTTTCTCCTGACACCTCCAACAGTCCTTGTGTTTGGAGAGCTAGCTGGAAGTACTTTTGTCTGGCATCTCTCTCTCTCTCTCTCTCCATATATATATATATATATGGAGATATATATATCAGAGTTCTGTGAAATTTTTCACTGATTATTTGCTCTTTCTAAAAATATCCAGACTTTTACTTTTTAGCCATTAAAAAAAAAGGGGGAGGGTTTGAACTGAATCAATTCTTGTATTTTGGCTAAGCCATATCTGGACACAGCAGCTACAGAGAAACAAAAAGGAAAAAAAGAATCCTGTCCATGCCCTGTTTCCTGGTTAGGAAGGAGCAGACTTTAGAGAAGGGAAGCCAAAGCATGCTTTGTAACAACCTGAAAATACGCCCTTGAAGGCTAGGGCCTAAATTGTACCCGTAAAATGGTAAACAAGCTTGACTGTGGCTTTGGCTTATTTACAATAAGGAATAAATCAATTGAAGCATTTTACATTCTTATTCATACCTAAACAGAAAGAGACCATAAAAAGCCTTTTCAAAGAATTGGGGCAAATGGAAGAATTTAATAAACAGAAAAGAATTTTAAAAATGAGGAAATAAAAAATAAGCAGCAAAAATATTTTTTAAAAAGCTAAAAACATTTTAGAAAGTGTCAAAAAAATAATTACTAACCCCACATGGCTGGGACAAATGAATTGCAATCAGAGGCCAGAGTACAAAAAATAATTATTCATTAACTTGCAGTGTAGCCTCTGCTACATGTTATTTCAGCAACTAAATTGTGCAGTAATGACAATGAATTCTAAACTTAAATCTGTAATAATGTGGCAGAGTCATTCCTATCCCATACTTGCAAGAAATAATAATAATTTGAAAAAGTGGTTAAATGGAATCAAGACTAGCCCTAGAATCTAATGTCTTTGAACAGGGCTGGGCAGCAGGCTGCTCACTGATGTAACTGCTGAATACAGTTTTTAGGGCGACAGAAGAAAAACTCTGAGGTAGCCCAGTATTTTTCACCCCTGCTGTTTTTTCTGATAATGGGCTCACACTCATTCCCTTTCCATAAGTAAAGTATCAGACTGTTTACTCATTCCACCCTCTGGCCAAGAAGTACAAGTTCATGATGGAAACCATACTCTAGGCAATGGATTTTGGCTATTATTTATCAGGATGTGAAATGAGAAAATATGCAACTGACAAAGCTTAGAAACAAAATCAGGAATGAAGAAAAATAAATCTGAAAACAGACTGTTTAACAGTTTGTTATTAGAAACAAATTCTGGCCACCCCAAAGCTATTTGCTAAGCCCACCCCCGGCTTCCTCTACACCTACTGGCCTGCTCTGCCCCCAGGTCTCTGGGCTGCCAAGGGGCTGGCTACAGTGGTCCTGACCTTTCTTGCTAAGAGCACATCTCTTTGCTGGGTTGCTCCTTTCAAGCAGGTGCATTTGATTGTACAGAACAGTTAGACCAACCATTGGGGCAGTTTTAGGAATTGTTTCTAAAATTAAAAAAAACAACAAATTCTAGATTAAACAAAATTTCTATCTAAATTCAGATCTCCTGATGTGGAATTTTTTTTAAATGAAATTCTTTTGCAGTTTTTAAGTTTGTTCATTTTTTTTTTTTTTTTAAGTAATCTCTGCACCCATAGGCTCAAACCTATGACCCCAAGATCAGGAGTTGCACGCTCTTCTGACTGAGCTGGCCAGATGCCCCTGGAATTTTTTTTTTTTTTTTAATGATGGAGTAGTTCAGTGCCAGTGAAGGACATTTATCATATTTTCTGTCTGCCCAGCATACTTTAATGTAATTCCAATATCTGGGGAATCTCCCACCTTGTGGGGTCCACTTCCCCAAGGTAGAAGGCTGGGACTTGCTTCCCCAGGCCCCCTTGCAGCTTAGGGCCCACAGATGTGACAGAGACTTCCATTTGAAAGAAAGTAATGGGAAAAGCAAGGCATCTCATGGAATAAATTTGGAACAAGGGAAGAGGTATGAGGCCAAGATAATGCAGTTTTCAGAGAGAACAGGGACAGAAGTTTTGGTGAGTGGCCCCACAGTCTCCAGTGGAGGTTGTATCACTCCTGGTTGTATAGCTTCCAAGCTTGATTCTCTACTTCCAGATTTTGTTAGCTACCCAATATACTTTGAAAAGGATCTTTTTCTATTTAACTATGGTGGATTTTGTTTCAAACATTCAGTGTATATTCTAGGAACTGGCTTTTAACAATGGAAAAATAGGAACATATTCTTGTCCTAATAAAGCTTACACTCTGGTAGGGGAGACAGATGATAAAAATAAATATATGATAATGCTACATGCCACATGATAAGCACTATAAGACCGTAAGTATTGTAGAGAAAAATAAAGCAGCTAAGGAGAAAAAGTGCCAGGGTTGGAGTATGGCACATTTAGATAGGGTGGTCAGGAAAGTTCTGACCAAGAATGGCTAAAACTAACTACTCAGGAAATGACAGATGTTGGCGAGGATGTGGAAAAAGCGGAACCCTCTTACACTGTTGGTGGGAATGCAGGCTGGTGCAACCACTCTGGAAAACAGTGTGGAAGCTCCTGAGGACGTTAAAAATAGAGCTACCCTATGACCCAGCAATTGCACTACTAGGTATTTATCCCAAAGATAAAAATGTAGTGATCTGACGGGGCGCATGTACCCCAATGATTATAGCAGCAATATCCACAGTAGCCAAACTATGGAAAGAGACTAGATGTCCATCGACTATAAAGATGTGGTGTATATATATATATATATATACAATGGAATACTACTCAGCCATCAAAAGAAACTGAAATCTTCCCATATGCAACGTGGATGGAACTAGAGATTATGCTAAGCGAAATAAGTCAGCCAGAGAAAGACAATTATCATATGATATGATAATGATCTCACTCTTATATGGAATTTAAGAAACAAAACAGGATCATAGGGGAAGGGAGGGGAAAAATAAAACAAGACGAAACCAGAGAGGGAGATAAACCATAAGAGACTCTTAATCATAGGAAAAAAACTGAGGGTTGCTGGAGAGGAGAGGGTGGGGGGATGGGGTAACTGGGTGATGGGTCATTAAGGAGGGCATGTGATGTGATGAGCACTGGGTATTATACAGACTGATAAGTCACTGAACTCTACCTCTGAAAATACTAATACATTATATGTTAATTGAAGTTAAAGTTAACTGAATTTAAATTTTTTTTAAAAAGGGAGGGGGTACCTGGGTGGCTCGGTCGGTTGAGCATCCAACTCTTTAATTTTGGCTTGGGTCATGATCTCGGGGTTGTGCGATCAAGCCCCACACAGGACTCCACACTCAGTGGGGAGTCTGATTCTTCCTCTCCCTCTGCCCCCCAAAATAAATAATTTTTTAAAAATAATTAAAAAAAAAGGAAAGTTCTGACCAAGATGACATTTGAATAAAGATCTGAAGGATGTAAAGGAATGAGTTAAATGGATATCTAGGTAAACATTCTAAGTAGAAGGGAAACAAGGAGTACTTGAGTGCGTGAGAGTGTACTTGGCACATTCAAGGAAGAGCAAGGAAACCAGTGTGGCTGGAACAAGGTGAACAAGGGGAAAAGTAGTAGGTGATGAGGACCAAAAGGTGAGGGATCCATTAGGTGCTGGTAGGTTACTGCAGGGGCTTTGAGAGTGGAAACACTGAAGGGCTTTGAGCAGAGGAGACATGTATGATTTAAAAGGATCACTGTGATTGCTGCATTGAAAACAGACATAAGGAAAGGGGCTGGGCAAAAGCAGAAGAAAGAGAAAAGTGAAGAACTACTATAACAAACTAGGTGAGAAGTGAAGATGGTTTGGCCCATGGTGGTAATTAAGGCAGGTGAGGAGACATAGGCTGATTCTGGATATATTTTGAAGATATAACTGACACCCATTTATTGACAGGTTGGTTTGGGGACATTCTGATAATTTCATGCTTCTGACATACAGGATTAGCATATATGATGTAATGTGTTTTCTAAGAATCAAAAGGCAGAAATATATGTATTCTCAACATTGGTAATATAAACTCTCTTACACTAATAGAGAGCTTTAGCATTAACACTACCTGATACATATATTACCAATCATCCTTACTCTGCTGAAGTCATTTAAAAAATATTTTCAGTGGGGGTACCTGGCTGGCTCAGTCGGTAGAGCATGTGACTCTTGATTTCAGGGTTGTTAAGTTCAAGGCCTGCTTTGGGTGTAGAGATTACTTAAAAATAAGATCTTTAACAAAAAAAACTTCAGTGTTTATTATGCACAGGACATGGTAATTTGATATCACCAAAAACGTAAATAGCACTAGAGTTCACAAAGCACTTTAACACATTATTAAACTCACAACCACTTAAAGAGAAACAGGTATTACCTGTTTTACAGATATGGAAACTGAGCCCTAGAAACATAAATAACTTGCCTCAGGTCACCTCCTGGCAGAGCCAGCCTTGAACATGGCCACAGATCCTTTACTCACAGATTAAAGTGCTGTATCACAGATACACTCTAAAGTGGCATTCTACCATCTCAGGTTTCACTTTTCTTAGTTATAAAATACTTTCTACATATGTATCTTAAACACTAAGCCCATATATGGTGGACAGAATTTTGTTCCCTCCTCACCCCCTAAAAATTCTTATATTGCAGTCCTAACCTACCCAATGTGACTATATTAGAATATAGGGCTTTTAGGAGGTAATTAAGGTTAAATTATAAGGGCAAGCCTTAAGCCAATAGGAATGGTGGGCTTGTAAGAGAAAGAGATCTTTCTCCTCCAGGTATACATATCTGAACATACAGTGAGATGGTAGCTATTTACAAGCCAAGAGAAAAGGCCTCAGAATGAAATCTACCTTGCTAGCACCTTGACCTTGGACTTTCCAGCCTCCAGAACTCTTGAGAAAATAAATTTTGTTGTTTAAGTTACTCAGCCTATGGTATTTTGCTGTGGCAGCCCGAGTAGACTAATACACCATTATTATGGAAGAGAAAGGTGGATTAATCTCTTAACACTTAATGTGGCCAATTTAACATATACACGGAACCCCAAAGAAATATTCAATTCCAACTTCATTTTCAGGCCATGAATAATCCAAACCACACAAAGTCCACAAGCCGGTGGAGATTAGAGTCATTCTTTTATGCTCCATTCAGCTGGCCCCTAAGCACCATTCACAGCCATGGAGTCTTACTCGTAGCCTCTGGGGGAGCAACATGTGCTAAGGCCAAGTTCACCAGAGAATCTCTTACAATCTCCTTCATACCTTCAACACCTGTGTTGTCCAATAAATTAGCCACTAGTTATATGTGGAGAATAAGTATTTGATATATGGCTAGTGTGAATTGAGATGTGCTATAAGAATAAAGTATATACCGGATTTCAAAAACTTAGTATGAAAAAATATATATAAAATATATTAATAACTGTTGAATAGTATTTTGGATACAGTGGGTTAAATATTATAAAAATTAATTTCACATTTCTTTTTACTGTTTTTAATGTGCTCCTAGAAAATTTAAAATTACATATGTGGCTTGCATTTGTGCTTTGCATTCTATTTCTATTGCTTCTCCATACACACACACACACACACACACAGTTTATTAGTCCTTTTGATACACTTACACTTTCCTCAGAATCTCAGCTCCAGCTCTTCTTGGGTCTTGCCTCCAAAGGATGTTACCTGTCTTTCCTGCTCCAACTAGTTCTACTATTGTTGTGGGCAGATTTCAGAACTTGAATATGCATGAGGCAGAAGGGAGAAGACCTTATGGGAGTCTAAACCCCCCCATCCCTGGATAAAATATTGAATGCAATTAGATCTTTCCTCGTTGCACTGATACTTTTTCTCCACTATTTTAGGTAACTTTTTTTTTTAAGATTTTATTTATTTATTTGAGAGAGAGAGAGAGAGAGCGCAAGAGGGGGTAGGGTTAGAGGGAGAAGCAGACTCCCTGCCGAGCAGGAAGCCCGATGTGGGACTTGATCCCGGGACTCTGGGATCATGACCTGAGCCGAAGGCAGTCGCTTAACCAACTGAGCCACCCAGGCACCCTAGGTAACATTATTTTTAAAAGACCCTTCTAATAATGCAGCCTTTAGAATACAACATTCCAGGAAATGGAAGGGAGTGGCAGGGAAGATAACTCTATCCTATCATACATACATTAATGATTTTGATCCTATACTACTCCCTATTTTTCAAAAGAGAAAAGCTGTCAAGAGTGATTAAATGCATTACCCAAGGTCACAGATCTGCATGAAGTAGATTTCTACCGAAATTTGAGCTCTAACCAGATTCTGTGCTCTTACCATTATATCACAATATCATGTAATCTCCAAAATTCAAACTTTTGACAATTCAAAATTTTATAGAACTTGGGTTAGGGAGAAAATAAGAGGTGGCACTGATACAAACTAAACACTACCTGGAAAATAATTAGTTATTTTCTGTTTGGGATATAGATAAGTGGGAAATTATGTTAGCTACTCAAGCAATTCAATAAAGCACTCCACAGAATTGTTCTAAATTACAGATGATGATGATGATGACAGTCAAAATGTTGTACACCCTTAGATATGAAGCACTGTACTAAACACTCTGTGCTTGAGCTCATTTTATCATCTCACAGTGTATGGGGTCCTAGTAACCCCATTTTATAGGAGAAACTGATCACAGGGCTAAGAATTGACTGAAACCAAGCCTGTCAGATTTCAGACCCTAGAGCTGGGCCATGCTCTACTGCCTTCCAATAATAATGGTTTTATCTCCACTACTTCTAGGTGTCTCACTTGGGATAAAAGAATGAAGTCACTCCCAAATTCTGGCAAATTCCCTAAAGAGGAAAGAATTGTAATTCTGGGCCTCATTCTCTGCATATTACAGATAAATTTAGTTTTGAGCATTTCTTAGACTATTTTTGCATCCTTCTTATGCACTCATTTGGGATAGTTTAGAAATAGCATGTTTTAGAGAGGACTTTTAATCATTTACTGATTTTGAAGATGTACTTCTGAAGAGAGCTCTCACAATTCCAGAAGCCGATCTGATGTGTGCCAAGTAACAGCATTTTTGCTTTCTGTCCCTTGCATGAACCTTTATATCCCTGGAAATATCCAACTGCCAACATAAGGCTTTGTATTTTAAGGCAGGGGCAGGGAGTCTCTTAACATGTCCAGTTTCTTCTTTGCCCAGAAAGGTGTTGACTTAAAACATGATAACACAAGTTTTAACTAAACACTGACTCATCAAGCAGGATCTTCAAAGAAGTTCTTTAAATTCCAGGAGTCCCGGAATCCCCTAAGGTAAAATGAGAAACATAATATAAAACGTAGCTATTTGTTTGTACAAACCATTACAGTGTACGAATATGTTCACTTCAAACAATCCTCAAAATAACTGTCTATTGGCCGCATTCTACAAATGAGGAAACTGAGGCCCAAGGAAACCAAGAGAATGTCTAAAGATTATAACCACCATTTGTGGACTTTCTGACATTACACTTGATTGATGTTACACGTATTTGCAACTCCTTGATCATACTTTAACATACAGCTGGTATGCCAGTTTGAATCCATCAACCAAAAAGAAAACTGAGAGATCCTGAATAAAGAGCTCCGAGAATATGGCAAAACATTTATTTACTTTTCCCATGGAGTCTCTTATCAACCTGTATCAGAGTCTACTTCAGATAGACAGTAGTCCCTTTTCTAAGGCTCCTTGCCTCTCCACCATCACCTTCCCTTCTCCCCAGTCTTTTCCTGCCCCTTGCATCCCATTAGGTTCCCATGTCTATCTTGGACCAGCAATAAAGGATCATTTAAGTTCCACCTATCTTGAAGGGGAGGCTTTGGATCCTTCCGATTCTTCAGAATGAAACCCTACCAAAAGACCTTTCTTTTGTTGGTGCTGACCAGCTCTCAAATCTCAAAACCTAACTTTGGACTGATTTGTTTCTAGTAGTATGGCCAACACCCCAAATAATCTTTCCACTAAAATCAACCTAAAAAATCTGGTTAAATGGTAAAATAAATGCACCCCACCACACACACACACCTTAAAAAAAAAAAAAAAAAAAAACCACAAGATGATAAAATGTAAAGAATTTTCAGAATAAGTGAATACACAGGTAATCTATCTAGTACCTCTCAAACATGGAGTAAGAGGTGGGAAGCCAGTACCAGACAAGAAGGCAGGGGATAAAGAAGGCCACCCAAGGAGGGGATTCTAACAAGAGACATCAGCATAACAAAAAATTGCATTTGAAGTTTAAAGAGGCAGCTAGGAAAGTTGCCTTTTTCTACCCTTGGAGCCAGGTAGAGGGAAGAAAACTCTGCATAACCACAAGCCAATATCTGTAACATTTGTGTCTCCAATTTATACTTTCTATATAGGAAAAAAAAAATCTAGCTGAGAATTTAAGTGGTCCCAGCTTGGTAGTGCCCCGAAGCCCCTAGCAGAAACATACTAAAATTTTTAACACAAAACTTTAGGTATGGGGGCGCCTGGGTGGCTCAGTCGTTAAGCATCTGCCTTTGGCTCAGGTCATGATCCCAGGGTCCTGGGATCGAGCCCGGCATCGGGCTCCCTGCTCTGCGGGAAGCCTGCTTCTCCCTCTCCCACTCCCCCTGCTTGTGTTCCCTCTCTCGCTATCTCTCTGTCAGGTGAATGAATAAAATCTTAAAAAAAAAAAAAAAAAAAAAAAAATACTTTAGGTATGGATGTTCAAATTTCTAAAGTTTAATGGAAAAAAAGAAACAGTAGTAAGTGTATACAAATTCCAAAACGGGAGGTAGGTAAAATAGGATGAAAAAAAAATCCAATTAAAGAAAAATCAAGAAAGGAGGAAAAAGAAACACAAAAGGCAGGACAAAGAGCACAATATACTGACAATAAGCCCAAATATATCAGTAATGACAGTAAGTTTAAGTGGACTAAACTATCCAGTTAAAAAACAAAGTTACCAAATTATTGTTTAAAAAAAATCTAGCTATGTGTTATTGTCAGAGTTAGGTTGCAGAAGCAGAGCTGCTGTTATGGGATAAGGGATTTATATTAAAAGTAGACAATACCAATGTGAGAGGAGATCTGGAACAGGGAGATGGAGAGTCAAAGATACTAACTAGTGCTCCTAAGCACTATTAGTGTTGGAAATTATCGGGGAAAACTGAGAAAGCACATGCCACCCAGCTGTGAAGTGGGAACGCAACAGGAATTTGTGGAAAGTTCTGTGAGAAGCCACCGCCCCTGTGCAGCTACCACCTCTGTGGGTCTGGAGCCAAGCACCAGGGGGCCAAGCTGGGGCAGCATTCAGAAGAAGAGCTGGATGAAGTACAAAGAGCAAGAACACGCCAGACCCTGCTGGGCACCTGTTGAGCTATTCATCACCCCGTCTACAGAATAAAGGCCACACCTTCATTTCAGCCTGTCAGTTCCCACACAAATTCATCTTTGGGCTCACTCTAACCCAGGAAAGGGAATTCTGGGAAAATGTAGTTCTCAGCTTGACCAAGCTGATCATAGAATAATCCAGAGCAGCTGTTCATAAAAGACACACGTAGGGGTGCCTGGGTGGCTCAATCTGGTTAAGCATCCGACTCTTAAATTTCAGCTCGGGTCTGGATCTCAGGGTTGTGAGATGGAGCACCGCGTCAGGCTCGGCGCTGGGCATGGAGCCTGCTTAAGATTCTCTTTCTCCCTCTCCCTCTGCCTCTCTTCTCCCCTTCTCTCCCTCTCTAAAAAAAAAAAAAAAAAAAAAAAAAAAGACACACCTGAAACATAAAGAATGGAAAGACACGTCAGGCAAAAAACTTAAGCAAATGAAACCTGTGTATACCTATATTAAAATCAACAGTAAAATTTAAAGCAAAAATTATTTTCAAGAGTTAGAGGGTCATTATAGAAAGTGTTCAACTAAAAAATAAACTTCTCAAAATTGCATACATCTAATAATATAGCCTTAATACATAAAGCAATTGAGATTACAAGAGAAACTGACAAATGTTATCACAGTGACAGACTTTGACATACCTTTCTGAGATTTAATGGTAACAGCAGACAAGGAATAAGAAAGAGTATACAAGATGTGAGTAACACTAGTAAGCGTAAAGGAAAAACTGAGAATGCTCAGAGAGAAGGTGCAGGAAGGTATTACTTTAGATTGAAGATCGAGGTTTCACAGGGCAAATGCAACAGAATGGGGCAAGTGTTGAGGACACTGCCAAAAGAAAGGTTCATGAGATGTCTGGAGGTAGAGAAAAATGGAAATAAAGACAAGGTTAAGTTCAGAAAAAAGGAAGCAATAGAGCATTTGTGGAATGACGCTTCATTGATAGGTGATAGGTCTTCCGAGTGCTGGGGGCTTTTCACTTTAGCTCAGCTCTAGGCCTCAGGGAGAAGTTCTTTCTCCTGGGTTTGTCTTTCTGTACTTCAGAGAAGTGGGAAAATGTACTAAGCCTTAGGGGCCTGAGATTCTCCCCCAACTTGAGAGGTGCCCATTCTCCTTTCCCTTCCCTCCTATCTCTGGTCAAAATTGAAAATTGTTGGCAAGGGAGTTACAAGATTGGAGTCTTGCAGGGCTCAAGCTTCAGTATTTTCTCCACCAGAAGGGATGTGGGTCAGGGACAGGGTCAGTAACAATGATGGAGTATGGGGCAAAGAGATGGGGAAGGAGCTCAGCAAAAGGAATGAGTTCTTGAGGTTAATGTAATCCAGCCCTATTTCCCACAGCAGGAGATCAAGGAAGGTCTGGGACAGAGCTCTTCACCATTAAAGTGTATACTGGCCCAGGGAGACCAGAGCTGGTAGCCTCTTGCTGAATTGGGTCCACAGTGAGACTGGGAGTGTCAAAATGTTTTAATTTGAATTTCAATGCCCATGTACCCTCCTGCTCAGTTCAGTCTTCCCATGGCTCGCAGCAGTCCGTCATTGACTCCATCTATTGTTAGAACTCCTATGGATGTTGGCATGTGTGGCATTATCCTTTCAGTTTATTTTCCTTGGGTAATAGTAAATAGTTGAAAACTTGGGATCTTGGATATGTGTTTCTTTTTAAGAGCCTTGATCAACATTCAGGAAAAGAAAAACCTCAAAAGATTCTATGTGACTTAGCACCAAGATTTACAACCAGATTTACTAGTGGCTAATTACAACCCAAACTTGCTTTGTATTTTCAAAGGACTTTTTGTATATTCCATCTATGGCGATACTAAAATGTGAAAATACAGGGGATGGGTTAAATCAATAAGATTATACAAAACGACACTAAAATACTTAACCAGTGGTAAGTTCTACTGATGTCTGAGAGTGATAACATTATTTCAAAGGAAAAATTCGAGTATTTGGTATAAATGGTTATGTAATACTTTTTTTTCTTGGCATGGTAATTAGGAGATCCATGTATAGGATAATCATTATAACAACCAAAAAAAAAAAAATGTTCATTTACTAGAGAAGTTATCTCCTCTTATCCTTGCTCAAAACTCTGAAGACATGTGAGGTGTCTAAAATGACCTTCTGGGCGCCTGGGTGGCTCAGTTGGTTAAAATGACCTTCTGAGGTGGGGCAAAAAGCAAATGCTTGAAAGCATCTCCTAAGTATTGAATGATTTATTCTACAAATTCTGAAAAAGAATTGTATGAATACCCAAATTATGATGGTATCACAAAGAACAGCCATGGGCCGCTGTTTCCTAAGACTATCACTGAGACTATAAAAATGTGCATTCAGTGAGCATGGTCTGAATGAGGGTTTTACTCTGATTTCCTTCACAAATTATCAGTCAGGAATTCCCATGCGCTTGTCTGGAATTCTGGTTTCTCAGTCTTAAAATAGAGACAAAAAGTCTACTTGTCTCATAAATATAATAAAAAAATTCATTAGCTCACTTAGGCATCTTGAAATAGTGATTATTAACCAATGATAACGGTCTAAAAACTTCATAACATTAAAAGGTTGAAATCATGAATAAGAATCCCATGACCGGGCGCCTGGGTGGCTCAGTCGTTAAGCGTCTGCCTTTGGCTCAGGTCGTGATCCCAGGGTCCTGGGATCGAGCCCCGCATTGGGCTCCCTGCTCCGTGGGAAGCCTGCTTCTCCCTCTCCCACTCCGCCTGCTTGTGTTCCCTCTCTCGCTGTGTCTCTCTGTCAAATAAATAAATAAAATCTTTAAAAAAAAAAAAAAAGAATCCCATGACCTTAATTAGTGTTTAATGTAAAAACCAACTGGAAATAAAAATCAGGAGTCAAGCTATGTTTCCCCCCATGATTTTTATTACATGCAAACTGAGCCATTAGAATTTTTCAGAAAATTTGCCAGTAGGGGGCAGTGTGCTTGTAATTAAAATAAGATTCTAATGTTTTAAAATTTGAGAATCTGATAACTCCCAGTATACAGACAATAGACTAAGAATGATTTTACAAACCTGCTTCAAAGTTATTTGGGCATTAATGTCAAAGCGTTAAAAAATACTGATGTTATTGAAAGCTGTTAGTGCTATATAAATATCTTAAGTATAGCTGCCACAAAACCATTTTAGAGCAACTATAATGAACATAAAAACCCAAATAGTAATAAGCCTTACAGATCCTTTGACTTTATAATATTAAAAGGCAAAAACAAACCAACCCTCTGGTAGATTCATTTAAATAGGGTAAATGTTTACTCACTTCAAAAAAATATTTTACTCGCAGCAATATGCCCATATAAAAGTATAAAATAGTTTTCTAAAAGCTGTTCCATTTTTTTTTAAGTTGTTTTTTTTTTTTTAAGTAATCGCTACAGCCAACGTGGGACTTGAACTTACAACCCCAAGATCAAGAGTCGCATGCTCTACCAACTGAGCCAGCCAGGCACCCCTCTTCCAGTATTTTTAAAGAAATGTTCTTCAGCTTTTTTTAAAATTGAGGACTGTCCTTGGGAAAGAGAAACATGAAGTTCATATATAAAATATTAATTCAAAATAAGCCCAATAAGACTATAAGCCCCAAAAGGAAATTTAGCTTTTTAGATAAAGGAATAAAAAGGGTATTTCTAAACACTTCATAAGATGAAACATATGCTTTGGATATTACTACAATGAACTGTAAAACATGAATCTGATAGTTAACTGCATCAAGGACCATTATTTCAGATCAGACAAACCTGCATATACAACTCTATCTTTTAGGAGTTAAAAAAATACATCCATTTTATTCTGGATCACTGCAAGTTTCAATTCTTTGTCCTGAGAGTTTTTGGTTATTTAAGTCAAATGGCCTGTTACTCTTGAACTCTTGGTCATAATGGTTGCAGAGGTCCAAGTTGTGAAGAATTCAACCAAAAAAGTACCATAAACTACTTACTACATTGTACAGCATTTTGCTTAGTATAGGTTAAAATTGCCACAGAAAATATCTGCCAATTCTAACCAACTAGAAGGAAAATATATTCCTCTATGTTACTCTGTGTTGATTTAGTACTTTGACTATAGTGTATACTGTAAGTAATTTGAGGGTTATAAATAACTTATCCACTAGGCTATAAATCTCACTAAAAAAAAGTACAGAAGAAAGCACTCAAACAGCTTAGAGATCCACTATAACTTTTTTTTTCCAGTTCCACCTTAGGCCACAAAATTACACCATTTCTATTATTTGTGATGGGCTGAGGACAATAGAAGTGTTCAAATTCACCTTATTCTAACAATAAGGCAATGAAGCACAATGGAAAGCTGAATTCTAACTGTAAATGTTTTTTTGCAACATAGTATTTTCAAATCTGCTTAAATCCAGAGAGATTTTTATTACACAACTCGATTTTTACATCAATAAAATCTTAGGTATATAACAATACAGATGAAGGAACAAGAATTTAATTTGTATTGAAATAAATATTAGATATACAAAGCACACAGAGTGAAAAAGGGTCACAATAAATTAAAGTGGAGACATCATTTTGTTCAGTCACCAAAGAAAGCCCTTGACACTTTCAATTTCACACCATCAAATTTATCATTCTTGCTGATTTAAGCAGAACGCAAAACAAATATGGATCCCAGGGCTTACTTTCACAGGTACCAGCATAGATAATTTACTACAGTGACCCAATTTGGAAATCAGTAGGGACCAGTAAATCGCTGCATAAAAGAAAGAGCAATGAGGTCCTTTTTCCTTAATGTCAGCAGGCTATGATTATTATGTTTATTAGATTTTCTTGAAAGGACTCACATTTTCTCAAATATTCAGGAGAAATATATTTCCCCTCTGAGCCCTACATTAGCATTTATGTTCGTTGGTCTTGAATATAGGAGAATGATGAATTTTTCAATTTATTTTATAAGTTTATACAGTCTGGATAGTATTGGCCTGAAGAGTATAACTCCCCAACCTGTACAATATTAGATATTAAAAATGGATTCGAGAAGTTACTAAGAAACGCTGACATAAACTATATATACAAATTTTTTAGTTCAATATATCCCATTATATGGAGCACCAGAACTAATGCATTTATAAATCAAGCAGTTTTTTATGACTCTTTCTAATCTTTGTGACCCTTTTAACATTTGTTCCAATATAGACACATCACAAATGTTACCTGGCCAAGACTTTGACCGTTTGGTCTCAACTTACATATATATATGTAAGCAAAAATTCATGTCAAAAGCAATTGTTCTGCTTTATAGGTACAAAAGAAAATCTGGAATTCAACTGTCATGAACCAAGGAAAAAAATTAGTTTAAAAGGACTGAGCATATCAAAAAGTTAGCTTTAAGAACACTATGAAGGAAAATGTGAAATGACTCTTGAGACTTTCCTTCTCCTTTAATAGGAGTTAATTTTTAGATTCCAGCAAAAGTATCTATCAATTTTTTATCACTTTCCTAAGAAACAGAATCTGCTTTAGATTTTAACAATACTGTACTTTATCTCATCACATCAACTCAAACTCAAAGCAGTTTTCCTATTTGCACTGCACAAGAGCACTCTAGAGTTTATCCCTCACACAGAAAAAACAGGTTCCTTCTAAGAACCCACCTGAATACCACCTTAGAAGGTACACATGTCCTAGAATAATTACTACCAGGAATCCTTCCAAACTTTCAGCAGTTCCTTTCTTAACCTTAATACCAGATCCAGTTAACACCTTTCCACTCTGAATATTAGAAGAGGGCTGCTCATTAAAACAAACCCTGGAAAAGACTCCTGGATTTATAAACATATACCTTTGGCACACTACCTATTAAACTACATTATCATACAGCCTCTGCAGAATTCTCCTAATCCTAGAGAAATTCCAACGAGGTATAAAAGAGAAACTAGTTGTCTCTGCAACTCAAACTGAATTTACAAGTCTAGGTTATTATTCTTGATACAATAACCAAAACTCTCAGTATGCTTTTATATTACCATGAAAAGTCTAAATTTTAAGAGGTTAAACTGGCCTTACCTTGTGTACCTACAGAATGACCATGAAAAAATTTTAAGTACCATTTTTCTACACAGCTGAAAATTAAGGAGAAAGAACAATTTCATAATTGATGTATATTTAGGTGATTTAGGCACTCTTTATAAAGAAAAAAACAACACAGGGCCCATGATCTGAATAATGCCGCACCTAACTGTGGCCTATATTACCATTTGACTAGAAAGTAAACATTAATAGGGTACTCTTCCAGCTTTTCAACATTTCAATATTTTACTATGATTTCAATATAACTGAATACATGTAATGTAGTTTCAATATTACTATGTACTCATAGTAAATGCTTACTAAATATTTGTTGAATTTTGAGTAATTACATATTAAAAAAGGCGAAATCAGATCCTTTTATGGCTGACTCTGCACTTTTGGTGGCATTTAACCTTCCAACAGGGCCTGTGACCTGAGGAAAGAGTGCCACCTACTGATCATATCCCGTAACCATCTGTGGTTACTTTCTCCCTTGAGGTAGAGTCAGATCAAAATTGGTCTAAATTTGGGTGGTAGCTTTGAGGCTAGCAGATCCTTGGGGGATTTGGGTGGACATGAGTGGGGGAAGGTTTCGGAATAACTATTTTAATCAAAATAAACTCCTTAGGATTAGATAAGAGTCTTTAACCACAATCCCTCAAAACTAATTTCATTCACTCTGATCTCAAACTTTTAAAAAAACGAAGTCCCTCGGTTCCACTTATCTGACTACATATACACTCATTTTCCTTTCCACATAGAATAATATTCATGTCCTAAACTTACAAACCTAATCAGAATTTTTGATCTTGATTTTTAGGAAGAAAAGGTATTCTGACAGCTTTACAAATCATAGTTATAAAACAGACCTCTTAAGTCTTCCATAAAAACTTCTCATTTAATACCAGCATGCCTTGATTTTTCCTGTAAGGGAAGTTCCTAAATACCTAAATTTAATTATTCACTTACTTCCAGGAGCATCTACCTTGGTAAATTTTATTCCAAGAAAATTTAAATACAAATTCTTATTTAAGAAATTTCAGTTTTGGACTGATATTAAATAGAGTTTAAATTCATGAAGAATCAAGTATACAAAAGGAATACAGAATTCTTGTTATAATAAAAGTAGGTTTTATGTTAGGCTTCCTTCCACCTGTCCAAGAGGGTTTAATATCTAAAAGTACTAGAAGAAGAATAGCACTACACCACTTCTAAAGAATTAAATATTCTGGGTGTTAACTTTTTTAAACCTGGAAGTAAAATTAAGTTCAGCTATGCTATAGTTTCTCCTACTTCATTCATTCCATATACTGCTACAGTATTTCCTTAATTTTAATTTGATAGATGTACATATTAAACTATAATTCCAGATGCCAAATCAGCTGGTTGTACATATACATATCATGGAATTCTTAGCTACAAGCTCATGCAAACTAAACATCTAGTAATGCTCAAATTGTAAAATTTACTTTTCATGAGTGGAGGAGTATTTTATTTAAAAATCAAGCCTTCCATTAAAGAACAGTCCAACATGAGCATATCAGAAACATAATCCTGTTATGTGATAAAAAGCCTCAACTTTTAAAGCACAGGGTATTCTACATTGTTGTTTTAATATTAAAATTCTTTTTGTCAAAACCAACATGAAATTATTTCCTCTAGGAAAATCTTTTTGACCAATGGTAATTTCCAAACTAAAGAGTAAACCTCAAAAGAGAGATATACTCATAGGTCATTAAAAGACAACCAGTAAAAACAGCTCAGAAAAAAATTAATTAACAGAAAAAATGGTGAAATTTGAGTAAATTCTATACTTTAATTAATAGTATTGTTCCAAAGTTAATTTCTTAGTTTTGATAAATGCTGTATAGTTATATAAGATGTTAATATAAGGGGAAGCTGAGTAAAAGGTATACAAGAACCCTCTGTGCTGTTTTTGCAACTCTTCTATAAATCTAAAATTATCTCAAGATTTTAAAAAATTGTAGAAAACAAAAAAACTAGTAACTGAAAAATAAATACTTCAGCTGCCAAAATTTCTTGATATAATTCAAGACTTAATTTTTAAAGACATCATTAGGAATCAATATACTGTTTACTTAACATTATAGTCACTTTATTGCTCTAGAAAATTAGTTCTTAAAACCATCAGATTACATATATAGTGATAATGAGGCTAACCACACACCCACCCACCCACCCCAATCAACTGTATTGCATGAGGCTGCTTTTCTAACTTAGTAGATAAATATTACAAAAATACAAAAACAGTTGGCTACAGTTGAGCTATCAAGTAGATATCACATTTCCAGAGATGGGAAAGTTGAACAAAAAGAAAACTGATGTTACTGACAAGTTACTAATGAATGTATCTGAGAAATCCAATTACATGCAGACAAAAGACAACTGGTTACAAAAACCATTACATTACTGTGTACTAAAATTTTTGCAGTGTTTTAAACATTCCCAATCATGCAACAGTAATAAAGATCAGAATGAATTTTATAAAGAAGTTGATGGCAGCTCAACAAACAGGATTTAACATATTATACAACTCAAATCACAGCTGCATAATACACCCAAGACTCCCAAATTTACCTACACGTTACAAAATTAAAATGCACACTATTCCCCCCACAATTCCTCTTCCAGCCCCATTCCCAATCAATTATCTTACCTATAAACCTTTCCATTTAAACTTTTAAATCAGATTTGATGGGTAAGTATGTATCTACAGGATAATCTTCCTTATTTCAGAACAGACACCAAGCACAGGCATATGCTCAGTCTTCAGTTACATTCCTTTCAAAAGACATCTGAACTGCTGCAACTGTCTATGAAAATTCAAGCCTAAGAAACCGAGAAAATTGGTAGTCAAGAATCTAAGTAATTCTATAAGGTATAATACTACTAGTCATCTATGTGTCCACATTTGTTAAAGGGTTTCCTACTTAAGGAAGGTTACTTAATGGGTCTCTGAAAGAAAACTGTATTAACTACTAAGGCTTTCTGATGTAAAACAGTTGTGACCCCATATATTGACCCAATTGGCTAACACGCTTACAGTTCAGTCTTTTTAAAAAATATTCAAAGCCACATTAAAAATTTTGGAAGATCATAGCATAAGATGCAAGGTGCATGCAGAATTCCTCTTATAATGGTATATCCAAAATATATCCTAACAAAGCAGCAGAAAATCAATTTAATAACAATTTGAAATTAAATACAGTGGTAAATGTTTCTTTTAAAATCATCAACCGAAATTACTGAATGGCAAAAGAATACGGACTCAAAACATAATGAATTCATGTATGTTAATATTACCATAATGAAATCATGCCAGATATAAATTGAGGGTACCAATTAGGTTGAAAGAAATTTTACAGCTACTTTTACAAGAGAAATAAATGTACTTCATGATAAAGGCACAGCAGCATTTAAAAAAATTTTTGATACATTAATCACAAGATAGAAACATCCTTAACCATTAACAACACAGCACAGTAAAATTTTCTTGGGAAAAGGCTTGATTTAACATGCCAGGAAAATGGTAATTTTTCCATTGAGATGCATTTATGTAAATTGGATTGAGGTCAGTTTTACACCTGGAATTAACAACCCCTAGCAGAAGTACCAACTGCTAAAAATGCTTATTTCTACTATATATAACTTAGCTGGATATTAAACTACGCAACTGTTGGTGCCAGTCTGCTTATAAAAGCAATACTCTGGAGACAAAGTCTTCTCACAAACAGTGGGCAAGCAGGTTTCATTATTACATGTTCAACAACAATCCTCAGTTCATTAAACAAGGTCCTGCAAGATAAAACAGTTTTCATTCAGACACAAAAGGAAAAAGAATACAAAGCAAATGCTGATGAAGGAATTTCCCAGTCACTAAAGAATTTAAAGTAAAAGGAATACCAAGAATGTACTGTAGGAAACGCACAAAATAAAATTCTCAAAATCAACATTTGTGTGGTGTTTTTTTGGGGGGTGGGAAGTTAGTTCATTTAACAAAAGCATCTAGTAAATGGTTATCTCCAAGGGCTGAGATAAGGGGTGATTTATATCTTTATAGTAGAGTCACATCATTTTCACATTTAACTTTGGTAAATTCAACTAGTTCTAAAAAAGAGAACAAGAGAGCCAAAATTATATACTATGGGCAATCCCACCTACTATTCTCAGAGCTTTCCTCATCTATAAAATAGGAATATGTACTTCATGGAGTCAGTCATAGAGTAATTTAAGTAAGAAAGCATAGAAGATACTCAATAAATGCCATTTTCCAGTTGGATTAGCCCACTGATCAAACCAGCTCTTGTCTACCTTTAGACTAAAGTCCAACTCCTTAACATCTAATGCCTTCCAGAATCTGGTCTTAATCTAATTTTCTGCTTCATCTCCTCTCCCACTCTCTGCCATGACTCCTATATTCCAGTTATGTTGCACTTTTGTACCCAAAACAGGTTGTCGACTTTTACTGTGCTTGCTGTCTCCAAAGGACTCTTTATTACATACTGTACACATCACACATACATTGTATAGGCTAGCAGACACAAAATCATGTGTATTGGTTGACCTGTAATTTACAAGATATCTGAAATATCACCAAAAATAATTTTGATCATTCACTTTTGAGTTTTCACACTTTATGTGCTGACTCATCCTGCATAAAGACAATTCCTGTTCTACCTTTCTGTATCCTGTGCTGGGCTTCCTTTATCTTAGTCTTCCCCAAACCCTAAGCTCCTACCTGGTAAATCTTCCAAATTTATCCCCTTTTTATTTTACACAGAATTAGTTCAGGCTCTGGACTACCCTCACAGTCTCCAAAATGGTCCTCTCTTCCTCTTGCTGAGCCTGTAATGCATCTTCTGGAGTATTTCTAAATCAGATCTCATCACGTTCTCAAACCCTCCATATTATGAATTTCAAATGCTCTTCCTATCTTGAAATGAATTCCAAACGCTTTCATGATCTAGTCCCTGTCTTACCTTCCAGGCACAAATCTTCATTACTTCCCTATATACTTAACTCCAGCAACATGCATTTTCAGGCACCCATGTGCCAGAACTCAGACTTCAAAAGACTTGGCTTCTACTACCACCTCCTCAGTGAATTCTCAGCTGCCTCCCTCAGTTTCCTGTGCTTTCACAGAACTGTCACCATCACAGACTTACACAGCTGTCTAATTCACTCAGCCCTAAGTCTCTAGAAAGCAAGTACTGCAATCCTACACAAACGTTTTATCACCAACACACAATCACTGTCTTCTGAATAAATGACTCTAATGAATAAAACTAGACAGCACCTTGAAAATACTCTAGTCTAACCCCTCAGGTTACAGATGAGGCCTAAAGAGGTCAATGGCTTGCCTAAAGTCACAGGGCTAGGTCTTTCATCCCTGGCCATACCCCTGGCATAATCTAGACCAAGTTGCAGAGTCGCTTTGGAGCAGTGCTGACAATATACGGTCAGTGATGACTGAAGTGTCTCTCTGCACTGTCTAATAGGGTGACCCTCAGCCACACATGGCTTTTGAGTGCGTGAAACTGGTTAATGTGACTCAGGAACTGAGTTTTAAAGTCTATGAATTTTAATTAACTTTTTATTTCAATGGTCAAATGTGGGGCACATGGGTGGCTCAATCAGTTAAGCATCTGACTCTTGATCTCAGCTCAGGTCTTGATCTCAGAGTCGTGAGTTCAAGCTCCACGTTGGGCTCCACATTGGGCATGGAGCCTACTTAAAAAAAAAAAAAAGGTCAAATGTAGCTGGTGGTTGCCATGTGGTTGCCATGCCACAGCACAGCTCTGACTGATCTACACTAGACATCTACAAAGGACTGATACAACTAACTTGAGGGATATCATGATGAGTGAAAATGGTACAAACTGGCAAAATCCCTAACAAAGTGTAGCATAGAAAATGTAGTTTTATAGGCCACTTATCAATATTTATAAGCTCAAATATTTCCCATTACCTTTCCACTGTTTTGATTTGTTTTGTGTGCTTACGTGAGATCTTTGAAAATGCTTATTCGCACATATTTGTGTTACCCGGATCCACTGCTATCCTTCCCTTTTTCATCCCACTGAACACTTCTAAATTTCTGTCTGCTAATCTGATTTAAAGGCATGTGAGAAAAATGGGAGTAGAGATAAAAAGGGTATAAAGAAGCAGAGAAAAACAAATCTGATGAAAAATGGATAATAGGGCAGGGCACCAGAAGATACTGTCTAAAATGAATACATGAACCAGAAAAAAAAAAAAAAGAGGCAAAAACTGATGGAATCAAGTAAAACTGAAGATTTATTTCTGACTAGGGACTCATTAAGAACCTATGTCTGAAGTAAGCTCTACTTTAGGAAGTACTGTAAGAAAGACATTGTCTAACAGAACATAAAAGCCCCTCTAAGGACAATCAGAGTCACAGAAAAAGGAAAATAAACTATGTATTAAAACATAACAGAATCTAAGCACTTTTAAAACATTACTTCATTTCACCCCAAGGAGGGTATTTTCTCCTCTACCAATGAAGAAATTAAAATTTAAATAACTTGCTTAAAGTTACACACCTGGCAAATGATGGACCAACATTCATTTTCAGTTCTTTTTACTTTGCTCGTGAAATTAAGGATCACGTTAAAACACTCACTGGATTTCTGACTGAATTATACTGTACGATGAATTTATTTTAAATTTATAAACAAACTATGTTAACATTAGTATTCTCAGTAACATATCCAAGAAGCTATTAAAAACAGCTATTCATTTCAGTTTTACTCTAGCTTCTGAGATCCACATGCATAACTTACTGTATCACTGAAGCCTCCATTCCTGAACATTATAGTAACTCCTTAAAATATTTCTGCTTCCTCATTTTTCCACTCCAAACTATTCTGCACAAGGCTATCAGAAGAATATGATCATGTCCAAACCACCATTCTCATACATCTAAAAGATAAATTCTAAACTTCTTATCCTGAAATTCAAGAAATTTTATGATTTGGCTCCAATATACCTTTTTAATCTTAGCTGCAACCACTTACCATTCAGAATCCCTGGTATAGTCAAACAGGTCTATTCAATGCCCCTTAAACACAGCTTACTCCTTCTTGCCTCTGAAGATAGTTCCTACTATCTTCCTGTCTAAAATGCTTTTACCTATTCTGTCTATTCAAAGGCTTTAATCTTTCTTGAACAAAATAAAATCTCTACTTTGTGAAACTTTCATGGGCTCTTTTTATTTTCCGGCTCAATGATCTCTCCTTCCTGTGGACTACAGTATTGATAATGATAAGGCAAACATAACAATGCATCATATATTGGTTTGTGAACACTGTATCCTCAACTATTGTTTCCTTATTATTTGACATATGGCTTTGTTTCTTCAATTAGGAAAGTGCCTTGAGTTTGGGACTAATGTCTTAGACATCTTCAATACTATTTTGAGTACTATTTTAGTAGAGATAAAGGTAAATCTGGTCTCAGCTTCTAAAAAGAAATACAACCACCTCCTCATCAACCCTACTAAGGCCTGGAACTTAAGTTTACAAAAATATCACTTGCTTCTAAATTCTAACATAAAAGCTAAACAACTCTTAAAAGTTATAAATGCTGTATTTCACAATACTCTCAACAAATAAAACATTTAAACTAATCATCAGCTTACCGACAATATGGATTTCTTCGAGAGGAATATCGAAGAGTAAGAAATCTATAGTATATAAAAGGCTGGAGCAAACTTCCTTGCCCACTGAAATAAACAAATACAAGGGTAAGAAATATACATTATCAATTCATATGTATACTCTCAAAACTTAAAGCAATTTAATTGGAGAATGTGTGTCTTGATTCATTAAATGGTCACGGTAGGGGCGCCTAGGTGCGTCAGTTAAGCGTCCGATTCTTGATTTCGGCTCAGGTCATGATCTCAGGATCGTGAGACTGAGCCCCATGTCCAGCTCAGTGCTGGGCATAGAGCCTGCTTAAGATTCTCTATCTCCCTCTCCCTCTGCCCCTCCCCACCTGCTTGGTGCACATGTGTGAGCTCGCTCGCTCTCTAAAAATAAATAAAATAAGAAACAGTCATGGTAATACCTATCATGTCTAAACCAAAGTTATTCTTTTTTCTTTAAGATTTATTTATTTACATTAGAGAGAGCAAGGGTGCAAGCAGGGGAAGGGGCAGAGAAAGGCAGAGAGAGAGAAGCAGACTCCCCATTGAGCACAGACCACAACATGGGGCTTTGATCTCATCACTCCAAGATCATAAACTGAGCAGAAATCAAGAGTTGGACACTTAACCAACTGAGCCACCCAGGCACCTCTAAATCGAAGTTATTCCAAAAAAGGAAATAAAAGAGTGGCACCTGGCTAGCTCAGTTGGTAGAGCATGCGACTCTTGATCTTGGGGTTGTAAGTTCAAGTCCCAAGCTTACTTAAAAAAAAATGAAATAAAAGAATTTATATGATTGCTAAGGAGTAAAATGTTATTGCTTAAATTTTTATAAAGACAGATTCATGTATATATTACTTAAAAAAAAATTTTTTTTAAAGATTTTATTTATTTATTTATTAGAGAGCGAGCGAGAGAGAAACAGCATGAGAGAGGAGAGGGTCAGAGGGAGAAGCAGGCTCCCCACTGAGCCGGGAGCCCGATGTGGGACTCGATCCCAGGACCCTGGGATCATGACCTGAGCCGAAGGCAGTCGCTTAACCAACTGAGCAACCCAGGCGCCCACTTTTAAAAAATTTAAAAGCTATTAAATGAACCAGAAAATGTATATGGGTGCCTGGGCGGCTCAGTTGGTTAAGCCTCTGACTTCAGCTCAGGTCATGATCTCAGGGTCCTGGGCGTGGTCCCAGGTCACACTCCCTGCTCAGCAGGGAGTCCGCTTGTCCCTCTCCCTCTCCCTCTGCCCCCCACCCCCACTCTGTCTCTCAAATAAATAAAATCTTTCAAAAGAAAAAAAGAAAATGTATAAATGCTTCCATAATTACCACTAATAACTGATCATCAAATTTTGAAACTTTATAACATAGTAAATGAAAAGTGGTTCATCTTATATAAACAAACAAAAAAAACAGTAAAATCACACAGGCTCCCTAGTAAATTTGCATAGCTGATTCTACTATTTTGCTTGGTTAAAAAGCACATTTATAATACCCAAGAGCCATTTACATATTTATGCAATTCTAAGTCAAGAATTCTTTCCTAGGAAAGATTATCTGGGTTAAGACATTCACTACCAATCACCACAAATTAAATGCATCACTATTTGGATAGTGAGGTAGCAAGGCTAAGTATATTATCTTTACTTGACAGAGTTAATATGCAACTACCTAAAACCCTGATTATGAAAACCAGAGAGCAACTCTGAAGAATGCAGAGTATAAAATTATACATATTATGATAACTGTATTTTAAAACTTTTTGAAGAAATACATTAGAGATGCCAATGTGGTTTTTAAAGTTAATTTTTACCTTTTCTTCTAAATTGTGATTACTTTCATAATAAAAATTTGTGATTACAAACTAATCACTAAACTAAATGTTACATCCACTTTCCCCAATAACTCCTGTGACAAATCTTGAACTCTTCAAATTGAAAAATACACATACTACAGAAAATACAGAAAGGCATATTCAATGAAAAACAAATTTTCCATCATCCAAGTTAGCTCCTTCCTCAGAGTTACAGCTCAGTCTCTAATATATCCTTCCAGAAATTCACATGCACAAGTGTATATAATGACTAACACTAATACAGTGCTCACTTTACAATTCACTGAATCCACTTAAAACAATTCTAAGAGGGAAGGGGCATTATCACTCCCATTTCAAAGATGAAGAAACTGACGCAGAAAAAACATCTCTATGCCCTTAAATACACAAACACACCCCAAAATATAAAAGGGAACACCCTACACAGTTCTTAATAAATTTTTAAATTTATTATATCTTGAAGATTATCTGCACCATAAATTTACCTCATTCTTTTTACAGCTTCAAGCAATTCATCTTATGTATTACTATTATGTAACAAGCTCTACTAATGAATAAAGCTACAAATATCTCATCCTTTTATCTTTTTTTACACTCATGTTCATGTACATATAAGATAAACTCACAGACTTTACCTTCATTTTTAAATACAAAGCTTGATGCATCACTCAGAAAAATGTAACTTAATGAAGCCTTCTAATATTAGATTGTGCTTCTATCATGGAGGGAACATCTAAGGAATAATGATTTTAAATTATTTTTAATTTTATAGTCTGTGTTATATGCAAGTGACATGTTAAAGCATCAACAGCTTTTCCTACTAGGGACTGAATAAAACCTTATAATCTTACCATAGTCTTTTAGAATAACAAAGTGATTTCTCTATTTAAATACTTCTAGTAAATTCTCATCTCTTTTACAATAATCTTGAAAATTAACATCAGTTTGTTTTAAGGTTTAAGTTTTTTAAATGTGAAAAATCAATGCTCAAAAGGTTAAGTTAATGATCACATCAACTAGAATCCAGGTCCCTAACATCCAATAAGAAGTCTTTCCATTGTGCCATTCCCAGACTTTATTTAGATTATATTATCTAACTTATGATCCTCTGACCTGAGCAACATGCAGTGGTCCTGGAGTTTCCGGAGAAAAACATTACTTAAAAGAATGGAACGAAGGCATTTATGAGGAAATCTATAAAACTGTTACTAGCTTACAGACTGCTGAAGAGGCAGATATGCAAAAATCTCACTAATTATTAAGCAATGCACACTAAAATGAAATATGTCATAAACAAAGATAAGTTTTTACAAGTTAATGAGATTATGGAAAACAGCTAATACTGACATCTTAAAGGACAATTTGGCATCATCTATTAAATATAAAATGCACTTAGCTTACATTCAGCAAAATCAATTCTTGTTTAGAGAAAACGCAGGCACAAAAGTATAAGCAGAAAGGTAAAAAGAGGGGTGGCCTGGCTGGCTCAGTTGGAGGAGCATGAAACTCTTGATCTCAGGGTCCTGAGTTTGAGCTCCACATTGGGAGGAGAGATTACTTAAAATAAATAAAAAATTTTTTAAAAAAAGGGTAAGAAGATGTTTACTCCATCAATATTTGGAAAAGCAAAACTTTGGAAACAAATGTTTCCCCATCACCAGGGCAACAGGTAGTAAAATGCAGCATATGAATATGACCAAACACTACATGGCCATTAAATGGAACAAACCAGAATTGTATCTATCAACATAAATAGGTCATGAAAACATACTGTAGGAGTGAAAAAAAGCAAGATGCAGATAACTGATGCATTATGGCACTTCTGATGCAAAATAAAAAACTAAAAAAACAAACAAAAAACCCCACACCCATAATTTGTATTTTCTATGTATCTGTATATGTATTTTTAAAGTACTACATGCACATACACATAGGAGAAGGAGAGGACAGAATTGCAACAGTTTAGAGTCAAATGATATTTTAGCTTTTATCTGTAATGTCCTCTTATTGGAAAAACTAAAAAAGCAATAATCTAGGCAGAAATGTAGTTTTATTTTTTTCCTGCTAATCTGAATTATTTATATTTTCCAATTTAGCTCTGAAACTAGTAATTTTTTTTTCTACAACAAAGAAGATAAACACATTAATAGAGACAGAGAAGAACTTTTGACTTGGTAACCAAAGCTTATGCTCCTCCCCTTTCCTTCCTTTTTTTTTGGTTAAGTTTTAATTTTAATCACCCAGTGCTCATCACAAGTGCACTCCTTCATCCCCATCATCTATTTCACCCATTCTCCCACCCATCTCCCCAGAAATGTAGTTTTAAAACGTAAATGCAAGAATCTTGATGGGGAGGGTCAATACTAGCCTGATGTTCTAATTTTTAACAGAACAGCTTTCTTTATTCATGCATTACTTCTATAATTAAGATAAAAACAAGGGGCGCCTGGGTGGCTTAGTCAGTCAAGCATCTGCCTTTGGCTAGGTCATGATCCCAGGGTCCTGAGATGGAGCCCCAAGTCAGGCTCCCTGCTCAGCAAGGAGCCTGCTTCTCCCTCTGCTCCCAGCTCATGCTCTTCTCCCCTCTAGTGCTCTCTCTCTCGCTATCTCTGTCTCTCTCAAATAAATAAATCTTAAAAAAAAAAAAAAAAGATACAAACAAAACATGGAGACGATAGTAGGCAGCTATTAATATCAGACCATAATATTTTTGAAAAATTTCTAAAAGAAAAATCATCTAAATAGTGGCAGATAAACTAGGCTTCCCAAGATTCTTTCATAGGCAGCAGTTCTAAAATTAATTTTCAAAATGTTAAATGGTATATCACAAGGAATGATAAATAAGACAAGTTCCTAAGGTTTACCATAACATCTCAGTTCTCTACGATAAAATGAAAAATGGTTGCTAAGATCAATCTAGCTCTGCACACCAGTATCTAACAGATTTAAGCAGGATAAAATGAGTTAATGTATTTAATATATTCACTTAGTCATCTGCCTCTCAAAACAAATATATTTTTATTCTTACCTAAAAAGCATAAAAACTGTAGCAGGCATCAAGAATATTTCATTACAAGCAATGAATTTCAGAATATTCTGTTGATTAGCGCTTAATTTATCCAAGATAGATCTCAGGAGAGGTAAACTATTTGAACCCTTTGCCTAAAACATAAGAAAACAAATATTAGAAATAATGAAGCATTTTTGATTACTCAATTATTTTCTTTCTTTAGATAAACAGCATATCCAACAGGTAATGCAACTAAAAGACAATTATTTTGGAAACAGTAATATAAAAGTTTACAAAATAATGTAAAATTTAGTGTATTTTCCTGCTTTGTTGTATTTTGTGTATTTGAAAAATAAAGACAGCTTGAGTAAGTCATTTTCATGCTTTATTTTTTGTTAAAAAAAAGACTAGATTATTTCACCAAAAAATGGTGATTACTTCTATCTAACCATAACAAAATCAGACTACCTAGTAATACAGTTAAGGTATTTGTTAATCCTTAGCTAAATAAATTACAGAGTCCAATCACTGCTGTGACCAAAGAACTGTAGGGATAAAAGAAACAGGCCAATGCAAGGCAAATATTTGGATATTTTAATTCAAATGTCAGTGCATACGCAGTCAATCCACCTGGCACACTTAAGTGAGGCTTCCTGTTCCAACCCAGGAATAAGAAAATATTTTCGCAAAGTAGCAGCTCTGAACACTAATGTAAAAGAAATTCAGTACACTCTACTTACCCAGTATGTTAAAATTAAACAATGACAGAACAAGAGATCTCTGACAACTTACCAAACCTAAATGACTTTTTTTTAAAAAAACAAAGAGATCTATTTCAAACTTCAGAAATTCTCTGGAACTGTGGGGTATTCTGCAATACAATCCAACACAATCCTTCACAAAATGTATTTTGTGAAACTTAAAAAACTTCAAATTTAAAACTTTTAAATCACTAATAATTTACAACAAGTTTGCAGGGATTGAAGGAAATTTTTGTGACAAATACAAAAATGTCTCAGAACTAAATTCATGCCAACAATCTGCAATCCAGAAGTCAAAAAAACAGCACAGCTCTACTTACATCAAGGACCTTTTTCGTGTATGTGGCGGCATGAAGCAAAGAGAATAACAAGACTGGGAAAATACTCACTGGAGAAAACAATTAAGGAAAATATTTAACATTTATCAAGTACTTTGCAAAACAGGCTATGTATTATGCCCAATATATATCTGAACCAGCATCTGCTAAAAGGACTTCAGTGATGGCTTTTGTTTTACTTTTAATCAAATAAAGTTTTTTTTTTCTACCTGTAAATAACTTCATTTTCTAAAGCTCACAATTTTATTAATAGTGAAAAGTTTTTTTCTTTTCTATTAGATAATAAAATATTGTAAACATTTGCTAAATTCAATTGAAATCTAGGCCACCTCAAAATATTACAATTTTTAATCCCACAATGGCCATCCTGGCCAGAATAATTTGGCCTTCAAATATAAAGTCTTTGGTCCTGCTTTCCTCATCATAACTGCTTAGGAAAGAGTCTGGGGTAATGGTTTAAAAGGTATTTCTTCGGTGGTGCCCCAGCTGGCTCAGTCAGTAGAGCATGGGACTCCATCTCGGGGTGGTACTTGATCTTGAAGCGATAAGGTCAAGCCCCACACAGGGTGTAGAGTTTATGTAAAAAAAATAAAAATAAAAAACTTTTAAAAAGTACTTCCCCAATTTTCCTCAACTAAAGATCTTTCATTATTTCTTTCCTACAAGATCCCCATTATTTCAAGATACTGTACCTATCAAGCTTGTACAGTTCATGTGTTCTCAACCTGTACAAATAAAAAGTGTATATATATTTGGGTTTGTGTAGTACAGTTAATTGAGAGTCTCATCAGTTTAATTACAGACACCTATTGGAGTTCAACTGTTTGGCTTTATGTCATGGATAAATATGCAATTTTCATTCAGCTTTTTGAAAAATAAAAATTGCTCAAAAGACCCTATTTACCCCAATTTCTGCCAGGCTGATAACAAGAACAACAACAAAACTTGTCAAATATTTTCATAAAATGATATAGACTTTAGGGCGCCTGGGTGGCTCAGTTGGTTAAGCAACTGCCTTTGGCTCAGGTCATGATCCCAGGGTCCTGGGATCGAGTCCCGCATCGGGCTCCCTGCTCAGCAGGGAGTCTGCTTCTCCCTCTGACCCTCCCCCCTCTCATGCTCTCTCTCTATCTCATTCTCTCTCAAATAAATAAGTAAAATCTTAAAAAAAAAAAAAATGATATAGACTTTAGTCCATTATGAATGGCAAAAATATGTGTCCTAAAAGTATTTGCAGTTTCTGGGGTGCCTGGCTGGCTCAGTCAGTAGAGCATGTGACCTGATCTCAAGGTTGTGAGTGCAAGCCTGATGTTGGGTGTAAAGTTTACTTAAAAAAAAAAAATCAAAAAAATGTTTAAATTACCCTCATTTAAAAAAAAAGTATTTGCAGTTTCTAAGAAATGAACCATTGTATTTTTCTACACTACCTGAAAGCTTTGGTGTGATGGGAAATGGTGATTACTGTAACACAAGGAGTTCCAAATTCATAACCACCATAACTCATTAGGATCCAAAAATGCCTAATTCCAACTGGCAAGCAAGACAGTGACCTATACCCAAGGATTAGAAAAATCCTACCTCTCTAATATAGTTCTCCAAATTGATATCCTGACCAATCTTTCCCTGACACTCATAAGAATTAAGTAAATTGCCAATTTCCTCAGTAGAAACCATGTATAGTTTCATATTTTTTAATCCATCATAGATCCCTTTGGAACTGATGAAAGCTATAAGCCTCTCCTCTCCAAGGCCACTGTAAAATTCTGTTGCTTCTTAAACAGTTAAATTTAAACTTTGACACATATCCTAACTTGAAGCCTGATTCAGGAGAAGCAATGCAGGTAATGAAAACAGAACCCTGAAAGGACAATCAAGATATCTGGGTTCCAATCATGGATCTGACACTAACTTCATCTCCTAGGCTAAGTTTCATCAAAGCTACAGATTTCTCTCCATCTCCCCTGCTCATTTCCCTCTCCCTCTCAAATAAATAAATCTTTAAAAAAAAAAGGGGGGGGGGGTGCCTGGGTGGCTCAGTCAGTTAAGCATCCAACTCTTGATTTCGGCTCAGGTCACGATCTTGGGTCATGGGATGGAGCCCTGAGTCTGTCTCTGTGCTCAGCGGGGCCTCCACGCTCCTCCAGCAGGGATTCTGTTGGGAGATTCTCCCTCTCCCCGCCCCCCCACCTCCTGTGCGCGCATGCTTGCTCTCTCTCTCAAATATTTTTTAAAAAGCTGCAGATTTCTTATGAGTTTTTTTACAGCTAACATTCTGTAGTTCACAAATCCTTGATAAGAGATTCATAATCTTAGCTTTCAATGTCACCTTTAAACTACTCAGAAAATATAAAGGGTGTAAGTACCTATCATTGTCAGAGCAAGGACAGCATCATCTTTTTAAACCCAAAGATCAGAACACAACTTGGTAATGACTTTGGGCTCACCTTTATTTACTAACCTAATAACCAACTACTTTAAGAATCAGATTAGTATTTCTTGCCAGTTACTAGTTTAGGCTATTCCTATTGCTCACTACTCCCCAACCTCCACCCCTAATGTAGAATTTAAGGAACATGAAATCCTTAATCTTCAACATACCCATAGAGAGGGGCTAGCAAACAACCAATTGCATAGAAAAGGCAGACAGGTTGTCTTAACTGGTCATGAGCCTCATTTGGCATCAACTCAGGATTCACTCAACAAACTTTGTGATCACCTACTGTGTGGACTGGCTTTGTCCAGGTACAGAAAGAAATATTTCAAAACTATACTTAAGGAGCGCCTGGGTGGCTCGGTTGGTTAAGCGACTGCCTTCGGCTCAGGTCATGATCCTGGAGTCCCTGGATCGAGTCCCGCATCGGGCTCCCTGCTCAGCAGGGAGTCTGCTTCTCCCTCTGACCCTCCCCCCTCTCATGTGTTCTCTCTCATTCTCTCTCAAATAAATAAATAAAATCTTAAAAAAAAAAACAAAACTATACTTAAGTGTTACTCATACATTAACTGTAAATTAGGTAGACCTTTTAAGTCAGATAGACCTTGGGGTGCCTGAGTGGCTCAGTCGTTAAGCATCTGCCTTTGGCTCAGGTCATGATCCCAGGGTCCTGGGATCAAGCCCCGCATCGGGCTCCCTGCTGTGCAGTAAGCCTGCTACTCCTTCTCCCACTCCCCCGGCTTGTATTCTCTCTCTCTCTGTCAAATAAATTTAAAAAAAAAAAAAAAATCTTTTTTTTTTTTAAATGTTTTTTTATTTATTCATGAGAGTCAGAGAGGCAGAGGCAGAGGGAGAAGCAGGCTCCCCGCCTAGCAGGGAGCCCAATGCGAGACTCGATCCCAGGACCCCGGGATCATGACCTGAGCCGAAGGCAGACGCTTAACCATCTGAGCCACCCAGGCGCCCAAAATAAATCTTAAAAAAAAAAAAAAAAGATAGACCTTGTTAGCATTACTATGTACTTGCCAATGTGATGTCCAGGCAAGTTATCTGAAACTCTCTGAGCCTCAGTGGCCTTATCAATATGATGCTCCGGGCACCTGGGGTAGGCTCAGTTGGTTAAGTCTCTGCCTTCGGCTCAGGTCATGATCTCAGGGTCCTGGGATCAAGGAGCCCCATGTTAGACTACCTGCTCAGGGGGAAGTCTGCTTCTCCCTCTCCCTCTGCCCCCCCAATGGTGCTCTAATAAATAAATAAAATCTTAAAAAAATATGATGCTATGATTTTTTTCAGTATTGCAAGGATTAAATATGCCAAGTTTGTATGCACTGACAAAATAGGTACTCAAAAAAGTTCAGTTACCTATTCTCTTTTCCTTAAGACTTTTTAAAAATCTATTTAAAATTTGATACTTCACAAACATAGAAAGTGTTATCTAAATAGGTAATATTTAGCCCTAGAGACATATTTTACTGTGTTTTCCATTAGGTATAGTTATGTAGATACACGTACTGTTTATGATTATTATCAGAATGTATCAGAAACATTTAAGAACTCTTAGGAGCAGCACTTAAAGCACAAAATACTTTCTGGAGGACAGAGGGACGACAGTGGGGACAGAACTATTAAAATGATTGCGAGGTGACTGTTACTGTATATGGTCTGTGTTCCTTTCTGGTCTATGTTACTTTTAGGCTCTCTCTTTGCTTAGAGGACCCCTTTCAATATTTCTTGTAGGGCTGCTTTCGTGTTTGCAAATTCCTTTAGTTTTTGTTTGTCCTGGAAGCTTTTTATCTCTCCTTCTATTTTCAATGACAGCCTAGCTGGATATAGTAATCTTGACTGCATATTTTTCTCATTTAGTGCTCTAAAAAAAAAAAAAAATGATTGTGAAACTCCAGTCACTCTTTGGCCTCACAATGCACATTAGCACATCAAAGTCCTGTAGTAAAGAAACCTACTTAAAACTATTTAATCCAGTGCTTCCCAAACACACTAAACTACAGCTCTCCCCCCCAACTCTCCCCAGCCTTTTGAGAAAACCTATTATCATCCAACACACGTTTGAAATGTGTAAATATACAATTCCAAATGAGTTATTTCATTCTCCTTAGCTCCAAAGATTATCCATGTGTCCTTATTTTCTACTCTATCCACAGTAAATACTAAATTTTTATTGCATTTATTAATTATCCAATCTTCTGCTTAAATAAGTTATTTCTTGATGAATTTCCATTTGTTTCTAGCTCACGAGGAGTTGAAAGAGCTGAGGATTTCTCTTTTTTTTAAAGCAAGACATATGGACAACTGCCCAAAGATGTGAATTAAATGAAAAACAAGTGTAAATACTAAAATAAGTCCTCCATAGTCCTGTGCTTGGAATCTGAAGTTTAAAATATCCATCACTAATAGAGAAGTTTACAAGAGGCAAGAACAAAGATACAAAATTTAAAATTCCCACGCCACGTCAGCTCTTCAAATTTAGATTTCACACTTTAGAGTCAGAAATTCTTACACTAAATGCAGCTTCATTCAAATTAAGTGTCAACAAACCTTAACCAACCCAGGTTCACGGAAACCCGCATTGCTGAACCCTTCCTATTGCGAAAAATAATCCAAAGAGACCTCCTATACACTCGGTAGGGCACGCCTTTGTCAAAAAGGCACGGAAAGGATACTTGTGACAGGGTAGGAATTGACAAAGATGAGTGAGTAGAGCAGGTAGTGGCAGCTGTCTTCTAGTAAAGCCTGGGCCAGGAATGCTCTGCTTAACTGGAAATGTGGTAATCTTTGGTGCAGCCTCAGAGCACTGGTAAGAGCATTTGCCAGTAAAGCACGCTGGTAAAAGCTGGCAGCTTCATGCAACCTGCAAATTACCAGAGGAGAGGTTATCATGGGACATAACTACCGTGTCTCTTCCTCCTTTGTGGATTGCATCAGAATTGCACAACACCTAAATCTCTCACTTGTCAATAGAAAAAAATTACTTGAACCTATTATACATTCTTAGAAGCATCACCTCATATATATACCCAACTGAATTTTATAAAGCAGCCTTCCTCCTTTTAAGTTAAAAAATCAAAAATGAAAAAAATATGAACTCCTCTCATCCCTACACATCCATTTTCTTTCTGATTTTCAACGTGATGTCAGCTTTCACAAAGCGCATGACTTCCTCCAGTTGGTACTATTACTGAGTTATTAGCACCTAAAGCAGGAGACCTGTGTTTTATCTGTCCCAGAACCTCTTGCAATTTAACAAGTCTTGCACATAAAAGGTAGTACAGAAAAACCAACCAAACAACTGAATATCAAAGGCAGAAAATCTGTGTAATACATACCCAAGAACAGGCAGGACAAACAAAGCAGAGCAGTAAACTGTGAACAAACGAGAAAGCCACATTGCCGTGTCCAGTTTATTGGTCATCATGAATTGCTAAATTTAGAAAGAAAAATACTGTAGTAAACTAAGCCGGCAAATTATCTTTCCAAGGATGAAGATCACATAGTCTTATTCCTACTCAAAATGTTTTAACAACCCTGTAGCAATTATTTGAGATCATTAAATGAAAACTCCTAAGGCAACTGTTTCACCTATATGCTCAGCAACATCTCCGAACACCTTATAGTTTTAACGTAGAAAGCAGCGGAAGTACTTAAATAGAAAAATACCAGTTGATATTTAAAAAAATAAAGACTAATTAAGAATGAAACCTTTGAACAGAAATTTAACTACAATTGTCTGTATTCCTTCAACACTTGTAATACTGGCTTCATCTATTTTAAAAGAACGTTAAATAAGAACTAATTGCTCTCAAGAGAACCATAATGCCTATTCTTAGAAATCTCAAATTCAAATAGGTAGGTTTCAGATCTGAGTAAAAAGGCATTACACAAAGCCAGTTTGCATTAAATAAACCTTACAAAGGAGAAATGTAAAACCATGGTAATAGTCACTCACTACCTAACTCATTATAATTTGCTTACATACACACAAGGGCCTGACATACTCTAAGTGTTCAAAATATGGCTGTGAAATGTTAAATAGCACCTGCCTCTCCAATTTTATGACTCTCTTCATCCCCTTGGAAGCTGCCCCATTCGTCTTACCCTATTTCACTGGCCCTAAATTAAAATCCCATATCCCACTTTATTCTCCATGTTTTCTCATTCTATCTTTGCCCTTGCTGCGTTTGCCAAAGATGGATCCATTATCACTAATAGAATCACTTAAAATCTGTTTTCTCATTCAAAATGTATCTTGTCTTCAAATCCTAAAGTGGCTTTTACATTTTCTGACAGAATCTATGTTATTAATTTTTACATCAAAGTCTAATACAAACATACACGGATATATAAACTTCTATAAAGAAGTTTCACAAAACAGTATCTTCCCTATGTATAACGGATTTTTGTATTTTGTATTCTATTTAATGTTTAGAAATAGTGTTTTCACTAAATGGATTTCAAAACTCACTAATGAATCTTAATGTGGAGTCTAAAACACTACAAGCAATCTAAATTATCTTTTGAAAGATATAAAAACCGGGAGCCTGAGTGGCTCAGTCGGTTAAGCGTCTGCCTTCTGCTCAGGTCATGATCCCAGGATCCTGGGATTGGGTCCCACATAGGGCTCCCTGCTCAGTGAGGAGTCTGCTTGTTCCTCTCCGTCTTCCTCTGCCCCTCCCCCCGCTCATGCTCTGTCCCTGTCTCTCAAATAAATAAATAAATCTTTAATTAAGGAAAAAAAAAAAAAGAGGGCGCCTGGGTGGCTCAGTTGTTAAGCGTCTGCCTTCGGGGTCCTGGGATCGAGCCCTGCATCGGGCTCCCTGCTCACCGGGAGGCCTGCTTCTCCCTCTCCCACTCCCCCTGCTTGTGTTCCCTCTCTCGCTGTGTCTCTCTGTCAAATAAATAAATAAAATCTTTAAAAAAATAATAAAAAAAAGAAAGATATGAAAACCTTTTCGGAAAAAATGCAAGTACATTTTAAAATCCAAAGATGTTTCACTGCATGTCTTTTTAACAATATGCGGGTAATTTCAGAAACATGCCTGGTTTATTGTAACCAAACCTACTATACTGTGACTCCTCTAAATTTAAATGATCACTCATAGTCAAGTGGAAGAATGAATCTGGCTTACTGTACTCAGGCTCTCCACAAATACTCAGACTTTACACCATAGTCTGAAATTTTAGAACATGTTCTTTAAAATTTAAGCTTAGGTGCACTGGCTCAGTCAGCGGAGCAGCAACTCTTGATCTTGGGGTTGTGTATTCAAGTCCTACACTGGGTATAAAGATTGCTTAAAAATAAAATCTTTCTGGGGTGCCTGGGTGGCGCAGTGGGTTAAGCCTCCAACTCTTAGTTTCGGCTCCAGTCACGATCTCAGGGTGGTGAGGTCAAGCCTCGAGTTGGGCTCTGATTTCAGCAGTGTCTGCTTAAGTTTCTCTCCCTGTCCCCCTCCCCACTGTGCACGTGCTCTCCCTCTCTGAAATAAAAAAATCTTTAAAAAATAAATAAAATATTTTTAAAAATAAAATACAATGAAATCTATTTGGTTAGCGTGTTTATTTTGTAATAAACCACTGATCTATTCATTTCATTTTGTACACTTTTATGTATCTGCATTTTAGTACACAGTAAAAAAGGTTTAAAAAAGTGTATTGGTTTACACTTTAAGAGTCAACAACCCAGCCATGTTATAAATAGTTTGGGCAAAAAACATCAATGAAACTTTGGGTGAAAACCTACTGAGGTGAAAAACTATTCACACAGTCTCAAAGCATCAGGCCACAGAATACTTTTTAATTACAAAAGAAAAACGGTATCTTTACAATGGAGAGTCTGCTGGATACCACCTGAACCAAATAATCAAACTTCTCTCCAATGATGACATAAATTAACATAAAATGTTTCCTGAAACATATAACGCACTGAAAATGACAGAATATCACTTATGTAATATTCCTGCCAAAATGTTTAACTTGATTCTAGTCATGAGGGGGAAAAAACAGGCAACTTCAATTTGAGAAGCAAAACAAGTCTGAATTCTTGACAGTCAAAAATGGCACCAGAAAGGCAAAGGGAACTATTCTAGACTAAAGAGACTAAAGGCCAGTAAAAGCAATGCATGCTTTGGATTAAATCCTGGATAAGGAGAAAGCAGCTTTAACAGACAACGGAGGAAATCTGAATATGGATTCTAAATCAGGTAATAACATGTATCAATGTTAAATTTTTCAAATTTAATTGCAAAAATTGCAGCAATGACTGCAATGTGGTATTAGCCATCATTGTGTATGCAAATAACTCTCCAAGGGTTCAACAAAATAAAAAAGAAAACTGTGTCTATAAACGGAAATGTTGTAAAATGTTTAAAGGGGAAAAAGTGACATGCTCAATTCACATATTCATAGTGTTTAAGATTACAGAGCAATAATACTTTGGGTACAAATAACTAGTAGGCAGATCTGCATGTTAAGAATAAAATATTTACAGAAGCCTAGTTATCTCTCTTCGTAAAGAAGTAAAGACAAAATGATGAAAAGGAAAAAAAAAAAAAAAGACTGCTCTTCCCCCACTGCGTAATTTCCATATAATAGCATAAAACGGGCAGAGACGTTCTCTGCTAGCATGCGTGTGCGGAATGAGGCCTGTGTCACGGCACCCCCTCAGCTGGCATCTTCAACCTTGGAACCTAAGACAATTAGAAACGCGGGGGGGCGGGGCGGCTAAAAGGCCCGATTTCCTTGGCATACAGCTGAGAGCCACCTGCTCCAGCCCGGCCCACAGTGGCTTAAGAAACAAAACTTGTAGCTTCCTCGACATCTCTGCTCAAGACCTCTCCTCTCTACGCTACCCCGACCTCAATCACTAATCCCAGTCCCTTTAAGCACTGAGGTGGAACGTCTCCGAACAGACTTGGCGACACTTTCCGCTCCTTCCTAACTCTAGTAAATCAAGCCAGAAGACGCTGCTCGCTCACTTACCACTGCGCCCGCCCCTTGGGGGCCGTTCGGGGCCGTATCCGCCATTGGGAGACCCAAACACGCGTCTGGGACGCTGCAATCGGGAAGGAAAGAAAGGGAATGTCAGCACGGGGCCACGATTCCGGTAACCGGTTTCCTTGCCCTGTGCCACAAGCCCGCCGCGCCCTACGGGCACTCCGAAACTCAACAGAAAGTCTCGCCCGCTCCAGAGCAGCAAACTGCCTTCAGAGCACCCGAAGTGGTCGGGAAATACCTGTAGGACACCACCAAGTGCGAAGCCGGGTTTCTAGAAAAACCAGAGAAAGGCGGAGCTTCGGGGCAAGACCCAACAGGGCCGATCTAACGCCGCCGCCGGGTGCACGTTATTGCCAAACCCGGAAGTGCTCCTTTCACTTCCGTGGGGAAGAGGCGGTGACGAAGAGGGGAAACGATAGCCGTGCCTTGAGGCATGACGGGAAGTGTAGTTTTTCTTGTTTCAGTTTCACCTGTCCTGCACTCTGGATGTGTAAGCTAAGAAGAGAGGCTGGCGAAGCAATGTTTTCCTCTTCTCCAGCTTCCAGATGGTCCTCCCTGTCAATGTCCAAGCCACAAAATGTCTACTCGTTAAGCCTCAGAAATATTTTCTTGCTGTTTTTCTCCAGGGGCTCCCTAAGCCCTGTGGTTCTACTTACAAAATTAAGTCTTCTGGATGGCTCAGTTGATTAAGCGTCTGCCTTGGGATCAGCTTATGATCCCAGGGTCCTGGGATGGAGCTCCATGGGGGGCTCCCTGATCAGCAGGCAGCTTGCTTCTCCCTCTGCCTCTACCCCTTCTGCTGCTCATGCTCTTGCACTCTCTCTCTCAAATAAATAAATAAAATCTTTTTTAAAAAAATTAATTCTTCCAACAAGCACTTAATGAGACCAGCCATGTGACAGGCCCCCAGGTTTGGCATGGAGGATAAAAAGAATGACTATGGCACAGATTGTGGGAAAGAAAGACAAGTAAACCAATACCACAGCACAGCACTTACGTGATATGGACAGAGGCCAAGCTAATCACAGAGAGCACAGAGGAGGGGACCTAAATCAGAAAGGGTCTGGGAAGATTTCCTCGAAAAGGTAATTCTGGCCCTAAATTTTGAAGGACAAGGAGAAGTTGGCTAAACAGAGGAGGGAATTCCAGATACAGCAACAGAAATTTCGTGAAGCAATAGGACAGAGTAAAGGAACTAGCTGAGTATGACCAGAATGAAGGGATGTGTGTGTTGGGGGTAGGGGTGGGACTGGGAGAAGTGGGTTGAAAAGATTTGAGAAAGAGAGGCAGGGAAACATGTTAAGGAGGAGATCTGAACTTGACCTTGAGATCCAGGCAATCATGATACTATTGTAAGCAGAAATGTGACATCATGAGATTTAGAACAATCACTCTGGCAATAGGATGGAGGATGATCAGAGGAACAAAATAAAACTCGGGGGATTAAGTGGGATGTTTTACATACATACAGAAGAAATATCCAACATCCATGGGCAGTCCGGGTGCTGGTCAGTTGTAGCTGACAAGTCAAATGGTGCCCTCTTGAAGCCATGTAATCTTCGATTTTTCTAAGGTCACTGCCCAAGTTCAGGTTCTCATGATCTACAGCCTGGATTACCTAAAATGCCACCTCCACTGCACTCCTCACATATCATTTACTCCATATTTTTATAGCACTTAGCATTCTTTAACATTTCTTACAATTATTTGTGTACCTATCAACAGTGTGTGTGTGTGTGTGTGTGTGTGTGTGTGTGTGTGTCCAAGCTTGGGCGCCATAACAAAATACCATAGGCTGGGTGGCTTAAACAACAGAAGTTTATTTCTCACAGTTCTGGAGGCTGGAAAGTTCAAGACCAAGTTGCTGGCAGGTAGGTCTCATTCTGAGGCCTCTTCTCTTCACTTGTACGTGGCTGCCATTTCATTGTGTGCTCACATGGCCTTTCCCTGCTAGGGAGAGGGAAGGGAGAGAGATCTCGCTTCCCTTTTTATAAGGCCACCTAGTTTTATTAGTAGGGCCACACCCTTATACCTCATTTACACTTAATTACCTCCTAAAGATGTTATCACCAAGGGGGGCCTGGGTGGTTCAGTTGTTAAGCGTCTGCCTTTGGTTCAGGTCTTGATCCCAGGATCCTGGGATCAAGCCCTGCGTCAGGTTCCCTGCTCAGCGGGAAGCCTGCTTCTCCCTCTCCTACTCCCCTGCTTATATTCTCTCTCTGTCAAATAAATAAGTAAAATCTTTTTAAAAAATAAAGATGTTATCTCCAAAAATAGTCATATTGGGAGTTAGGGCTTCAACATATGAATTTTAGAAGGACACAATTCAGTCCGTAGCAATATATATGTATATGTATAACTGGTTTATTTTTTAATTTAAATTCAATTAGTCAACATATCATTAGTTTCAGATGTAGAGTTCAGTAATTCATCAGTTGCCTATAACACCTAGTGCTTGTCACATCATGGGCTCTCCTAAATGCCAGTCACCCAGTTACACCAACCCCCCACCCACCTCCCCGTGTATTACTGACTTATAAGAATCCTCTATGGAGTGCCTGGCTGGGTCAGTCCGTAGAGCATGTGACTCTCAGTCTCAGGGTTGTGAGTTCAAGCCTGAAGCCTACTTAAAAAAAAATGCTCTTATTACAAAAATATTAACCTATAAAATGTCATCTATTTAAATTCCATGTAACCAATTGACTCTCACAAAACACTTTTGTTTTTACTGAGTGTTTATAACCAAAGCAATATATTGTTGCTATTGATAAACCAGCATAATTCAATGAATGTTCCTTGATATTTTTGTTAAGCAATAAAATGAATGTAAAACAACTAAGACATATATTGAAACTTCACTCTTTCAACAATGATGTGAGCAACTTCTTTGCTGAATTGAATAGTTTTTGAATACTGGATGAATATTTACTCAATTTTTAAGAAGATTTTATTTATTTACTTGAAAGAGAGAGAGAGAGCACGAGCAGAGGGGAGGGACAGAGAGGGGGGCAGAGGGAGAGGAAGAAGACTCCCCACTGAGCAAGGAGACTGATGCTGGGCTCAATCCCAGGACCCTGAGATCATGACCTGAGCCAAAAGCAGATGCTTAACAGACTGAGCCACCCAGGCGCTCTTACTCAATTTTTTAATGCTATTCACAATGTTAACAGCTACAGACATAGCACACTTTTAAGTTTAATCTGCATCAACATTCTCTCCATAACTTTTAAGTCTAGACAATTGACAAAATAATAAATTGAGACTTGATTTGTAATGCTTGCTGGTGTTGCCATGTTGTAAATACCCCCACCACGACCTATTTCAAGCTATCAACATAATGTCACTGAATGTGGAAATGGGAAGAGATGTGTATAACACACCATTATATAATATTTCCATCATGCAGATACAATAGACATAAACAACCTCAAGGGCATAGAAACTGATAAAATGCAGTAAAAAATAATTAAGAATCAATGAGTTTTAAGTGTTTATTATATATTTTTTTAAGTAATCTCTATGCCCATCATGGAGTGTGAACTCACAACCCCGAGATAGAGTCTTATGCTCTACCAACTGAGTCCAGCAACGTGCCTCTATTATCTATTTTTAATATAACTTGTTGTAAATGTATACACTTTAACTTTTAATAATGGCTGTGCATAACAACCAGCTCACAAAATTCTGAAAAATTTAACCATCAACTCTTGCAAGCCAATATGAGTGGCCTCCAGCCTACCACTATGTGCCTACTCAAATGCCTACTCAATCTCACTGCTCAGTGACATTATCACCAATCTCCCAATTTTCCCATCAGAAAAAATCGCCCATTGAAACCCCTGGATATATTCTTATTACTTTAGAGAATTTTTTTAATCTTTTCTTATAATCCAATGACTTTACATTCTCAAAGTTCTTAAGTGTCAAGGAAGCAAACATGAGAAACTTAACAATGGGAATAGAAGAAGGTGGAGGACTTTTGGTTGATAGCTTTTTTTTTTTTTTTTAAGATTTTATTTTTAAGTAATCTCTACACCCTAAATGGGTAACAGGGAAAAAGTTGCCCTGGGGCCTATAAGGGGAGTCAGGACAAGGGGCCTCACAACTGTATCCAGAAATTTTTATTCAACATTTTACATTTTAAGCAGCAAGTAAGTGAAACTGAGGGATTAACATACATCCCAAAGCACAGTACAGTGTTCCCAGGAGAGCCCCAAGCTCACAAACACCTCTGTTACTCTTGGTGAATAACTGTCGGTTCTGATGATGTTGAGGAATAAAGGAAAACTATGGCCGGTTTACTGGATTGCAAAAGGATTTGTTACCCAGTTAGAGTCATTCTTTCTCAACATCTTACTTGATATTTCAAACTGTCCCTTTATTTGATGCCCTGGAAAATTTGACAACTACTAAGATTTAGAAAGTTGCAAGAGATGCCTTTCAGAACGTGGAAAGAACCAGTGTGACAAGTTCTCAAGAAGATAACTTTTAGGAAAACAAATACGTGGAAGTTTTGCTTTGGTTCATTCCATTGAAATATGGAATGCCAGGGGCACCTGGGTGGCTCAGTTGTTAAGCATCTGCCTTTGGCTCAGGTCATGATCCCAGGATCCTGGGATCGAGCCCCACATCGGGCTCCCTGCTCAGCGGGGAGCCTGCTTCTCCTTCTCCCACTCCCCCTGCTTGTGTTCCCTCTCTTGCTGTGTCTCTCTCTGCAAATAAATAAATTTTAAAAAAAAAGAAATATGGAATGCCAATACATCTTTCAGATAATTTTTTGTGCTCCCAGGTATACATGTATCACAAAAGTTAATTTTTTGCCATATTTGCTTCAGATTTTTTCTTTTTTATCAAACAGTATATACAGTTGAAACCCATCCCCATTCCATTATTCTAACTATCCAGAGCTACCTTTTCACTGAAGTTACTGTATTCTTTCTGTTTATGTTTTTATACTTTTATTACATAAATTTGTATTACCTCTGTACATGCATACTAAACAATATACAGTATAGTTTAGTATCCTTTTACATTTTAAGTAGATGGTACCATACCGGGGTGCCTGGGTGACTTGGTTGGTTAAGTGTCTGACTTCTGCTCGGTCATGACCTCGGGGCCCTGGAATGGACCCCAGTGTTGGGCTCTGTGCTCAGGAGGGAGTCTGCTTCTCCTTTGCCCTCTGCCCCTCCCCCCAATTTGTGCTATCTCTCAAATGAATAAAATCTTAAAAAAAAATAAATGGTACCACACTTCATGCATGTTTTTGGAATCTACTTTTTTTCAGTCAACATTGTGTTTAAGATGTAACCATGTTGCTATACTTAGGTTTAGTTCATCTATTCTAGCTATCCTCTGGTATCCAATTTATGAATTACCAAAATGAATTTATTTGG